GCCCTATTATATATAGGTACAATTTATAAATACGCCAAACAGTAGTCTCCATATGAACCAACTATTATGTTCAAGACATACCAATTATTTTCGCACAAATATTCACATATTCTCTTCCCAATACCTCCTTCAATTAAAAGCAATCGAAATTGTATGCCAAAAAATTGTCTGAAATTCTGTGCAAATTATTTGCCTGTCTAACCAAGAAGAACGCACATCAGTTTGTGTTAAACTGCTCCAAAATTATTTAGTCTGGCCGTGTTTAACGTTTGGAAACTTGTTTCAACAAAACTAAATTAACAACTAAAAGCTGATTATTTTAAGCAAAATCAAGAGATTTAGAGAGATTTTGTAAGGCCACTCTACTTATTTCCATTAAAGTAAGTCCATTGTGACAACTATCCAAAACAAGCACTTTTAAAAATTTTTTTATATCAAAACATGCTTTCAAGACGACATCAACAATTCCAAACTTTTTTTAAAAATCTCCTTTTTTCTTGGTTTTTATTTCATTTTACAATTTTCTTTCACATTCTCTAAAGACTGACGATGGAGAATCATCAAAAAATAACTCAATTAGCCAAAAAACGTTTACGTTAGGCCTTTTAATGGGATATATAAGCCAATTAATTGTTTTGTTTTTAACAAACTGTAGCTAAGCTTTTAGAGTTCAAACGAATTTTAAATAATTATAATAGTACTAAAAATCGGATAACACTAATATCGTAAAAGATATATCTCAAGCAGAAAACATTTAAATAATCAGATGAGGGGATAATTCCTTTGTTCATACTTTTATTTAAATCCCAAGTCTTAAGTCACATAGCTCTTATATCGTCAATGATTTCTCATGTTCGTAAAAAAATCCAATAAAGGGTTAATTATATTGCTCATAATTATAATTATCAAATCAAACTGAAAATACATAAACCGCTACAATTGCCAAATCATCGAACTCCCAAGTCACAGTTTTGTCCGACACCCATGCCGACCAAGTTTCTGCTGCTTTTTCTGCCCCTCCCCCTAGTGGAGTTCCCCCTTTTCAGTTGTTGTCCCTCTTTTTGTGTATTGCTTCTAATTAACTAAGCACTTGAGCAAACATTTTGTGCATTGATTTTGTGGTCCGGAGAAAAAGCAACAACAAAATCAAACACAAAAGTAACCAATGTAGTGTGAAATTGTCGATAATATACGAGAATATTGATAGACTTCAGATATACTTCATACGATATTTGGCAATCATTGTCGATTGTGCTGCCTATTTGATTGATATGCCTATCCGTGGTCAAAATACTTCGAAATTAAAGAGCATACAATAAATTTATGATTTTTCGTTTACAAATTGCAGCCTATTCCAGTGCCTAATTAAAAACCATTTGAACTTTTCCAAATTGTTTTGTAACGTTTCTATGGCAATTACCCCTTCAGAGTGGAAAGAGAACAGAATTCAAATTAAGGACAGCATACTTTTAGGGCACACTTTTCAGTTCTGCTGCCTGGGCCAAAGACACATTTTTTGTAAAAAACAAAGCACACGAAAAGATGATTTAATGATGAAATTTTTAAATTAGTTTTAATACCACAGGGCGTGGAGAAACTTTAAAGCACCTTTTCATTTGCATAGTATTTCTCTAGAGATTTTTGGTGGGTCCATTAAGCTGTACCCTAACCAATTCATAGCTTTTTAATATGAATGTATTATTACGCCAGGTTTGGGTTGAAGTTTTTAGATTTAAAGGACATGACTTAAATTCTCTTTAAATGTCACTTCGGTTTTCTTAATTTGGTGTGTATTTAGTTTTATTATTTCTGCGGATTTTACTTTTGAAGTGGAGGAAATTGATGGCAGACTCTTGATTATGTTTTTTTTGAAAAGTGTTGTACGCAATGTTGCTTCAATTTCGCTTTCTCGACGAAATGGAAGGAAGGATGCCAACAGACATTTATTTTGTGTGATTCTTTTAACAAGTTTGCGTTAGCGAGTTTCTTGAGCGAAGTTTCTTGTTTAAATATTTAAAACAAATGCCTTAATGCAGCGATATCTGCATGTGTGTGTATTGGTCCTTGCTTTTGTTGTTGTTACTGTCAGTTGCTGTGATTGTGCATGCTTAAATGCCACATGCATATGACAATACTAAGGACAATGATATTGCGGCAGGAAAAAAAATGGTTGCATGCTTCAGGCGGCACCTTTGATTTGCTTAACAGAAGGCGGCCGGTCCTGTCCGGTCCGGAACACTCCTGAGGTTAGACAGCCTGCATTTACGGTTACTGCTGTTGCTGACTGTTTACAAATTGAAATACAGTATGCACACACACACACACACACACACAACCCAAAACCAACTGCCAGCTGAAAAATTAAAATGGCAACAACGTATGGAACTAGAAAACTGCATCAAAAACCAGCCGGAAAGTTATCCTCGACCGCGCCGAACAGTTGCATACCCTTTACTGTCGCTTTACTTACAAAAATTATGAGTCCCTACTTTTGTAGCCGTACTAGACCCCACAAACTATACTTATGTACATATATACATATATAGGTGAGAAGACGAATCGTTGTAGACATGTTTTCTAAGACCGGGACAGAAATAGTTTGTTGATCAGCATGACAAGACGAGTCGCTCGAGACATGTCTGTCTGCCTATTCGCCCTCTATTAGGCATATATAGATCCAAGGAAGGTTACGTTCAAATGACTTTACAAGAAAAATACATTTTGTTATAACACATGCAATTGTTATTGCTTAAACTTTTCATTTGAAAGTGTTTTTTACTTTTCTTGAATATAGTCGTCGTATCACATAATTGGATCTGATAACCATATTGTCGTCAACCTCGCGGATCAAGCTGGTATTCGCAACCTTACTTCGATTTTGCATTTCTTCATAAGCCGTTTATTGGCGATGCAGCCTTCTCCGCCCTCCTTTTGTGCCACCTGTTCCTTGAACTAGACCAATTAATTCCGTTAATCTAAACAGATAGCCATCTTCTTCACCTACTTTTAGAAGAACTCTCTCTTTCTCTCCTCCTCTATCTCTCTACCTACAGTTTTAAAACACGTCCCTCTTTAACCATCGTCGGTAGATATTACATTTTTTCCCATAGCGTTGACGATTTACCTTTTTTCTTATGTAAACCAATTAGTTATTATGGATATTATCTGATACATATCCTATAACATGTTCTAATAACATGCTATCTTGTTGATGTTACAAACTTACATACCAAACACTATGGGTCCTCACACTTTTCAGTGAAGGGTATACGAATCGGACATTTTTTGCATTTGTAACAAGTTGTTGCTCACCTGCTGATATTCTTCTGCTGTTGCTGCTGCTGCTGTGGCTGCTATGTTTGGTTTTGAAAATATTACAATTTTCAAGTAAATATTAATTTCACTGCGTCAGGTTTTGTGTTGTTGACCACAGAAAAAAAAGGACAAAGAGCACGACGGATGATTTGCAAAGTGTGTTCAAATTGAAACAACCGTTAGAATTTTTACTGTTCTGTGCTTTCTATTTTCGTAATTTGTTAGACGATTGCTTCTCGTCATTTGGATGGCACTTGTCTGAATTCATGTTAAGCGCGTGGCTAACTGGACGCATTCGCACACTGGCGTTGTCGATGCTAAACTAACTGTTCTCTGTACTGCTACTTGTTGGCATTCCGCATTCACATTCACCACAAAGTCAGCAGCAGCTGCGGCGCGGCTGCGGCGGTAACGACAGCGGCGGCTGCTGCTGCTGCTGCGTCTTTCGCATACCGCGGATGCCAGTCATCGAGAACGGTCGTTGGCCGTAGAGAGGGTTTTGGGTGCAGGACGCAAGACGCAGGAGCAACATGTCGTTTAAATGTCGGACGAAGTCGGCTTATCCTGACTTCGTCGTACGTTCATTTTCTGGATAGCTTTTGCTTTCTCAATTCGCTGCGTTGCAAATTGTGCGCTGGGTTACCGTTACCTCTGCTACAGCGTGCAGCGCAAGCTCTTCTCTCCCTCTCGCATCTGCTGTCTGTGCGTCTGCAAAACAGCTTTCAAAGCTTAAAGCACGAACAAGGCGGGAATGTTTTATACATAGTTCTCAATTTTAAAATACAATCATTACTTAGAAAATATTTTGTATCAGACAATTTGTATAACGAAATAATTGGCGCGTAGTCGTATGCGTGTAGGAGTTTGAGGCACGCACGGTTGTGCAAAACCAGGGCTACCGCGTGTGCTTATACTTTTTCATATGTACATATGTATGTAAATGGCTCAAACAAAAATATATATATATATATAAACGTAAAAAATTATCGTTGAACGACAAATTTAAATTTAATTGTCCCAGTTAGAGAAGTACCCAAATAAAAAAATAAAAATGTAAATAACATTGGCGTTAATTAATTTCATTTTAACAATTAATTTTAAATTTAAACAATTTTAGTACGATTTTCAATCGCACTTTTGGGAATGATCGACCCATTCGTGGTAATACTTATTTTAGCTGTAAAACACATTTAATATCAATCTGAAAACAAAATGAGAAGTTAGTTTTATGTATAATGCTTTGTTTATTCTACAGAAACATAAGCTTGTGAACACTAAACAAATGTTATTAGCCTTTATATTATATTATAAATAAACATTGAGAATACACAGCTATGGAAATAAAAAATTTTTAATTTTATGATTTCTTGTAAACAATTATACAAATTCTTGGCTGATGTATAAACACGGATAAATAATTTTGCATTTCAATTTGAAATCTTTGAGCAATCCACCCTTATTATAAGAATGTGAAAGGCATTATTCTAATATATATGTACATATCGAAATATTTAGAAGTTTAGTTAAGTTTAGAAACCCTTACCTAAATCTTACATAATTATTATCAATTTTACATAAATTAACACAAAAAATGTCAACAGTTTTCTACAACATACATCATACTATGATATACAAACTGTTATATCAAGATGATAAATATTTCATAGAACATATATGTATATAAATTCTCTATAATTAAGCATTTTAGAAAATGATTTTTTAGAAAATTGAGACCAATGAAACGAAGAAAAAACGTTCAACAAAATTAACAAAGGAATTATGTTACGTTCAGAGAAGCAAATAATTTGCAGATAAATTCTTTCTATTTTAATGCTTTTAGTAAACCATTATTTTTTTTAGTTGCAAATTATTTGCCTGTCCGGCCATACCTTAAGGCACCCCCACGAAGGCACAAGTTAATAACATTTTAGATTAGTCCTGACACTGTGAGTCCCTAATGCAGGCCACCATCCTGGCAAAATCTGTATGGCAGACATTGTCATAGAAATACAGTCCGATTAACAATTTAAACTGCGCGGGACTCAACGGATATGTGTCCGTTGGCATGATGATGATGGTATTTAGGGGATGAGATCTAATCGCTTCCTGCTCTTCCTTTTTTGTTGGTTTCTTGTCATCTTGCTTATCCTTGCCTATCATCGTCTCTTTCGCTTTGCTTCCCATATCTTGCAGTTGTTCCTGCTTCCTCTTCTGCTGTTGCTGCTCCTTAAATTGTTGGACCATCTGCCGGTAGCTGCAGAAGGCAGCAGCACATTTGGCTATATTCCGCACCAGAGTCTCTGTGTTGCGCTGCTGCATAACCGGCCAACGCAGCAGGTTAACAATAATCGAGTTGAGGTCGAAGATAATCAGATCCGGCATGGATGTGCATTCGTAGAGCTCGACGATGTGACGCGGTGCACTCTCTATGTCGGAAAGGAGAAGGATTAGAAAGTGGCCAGAGGAGCGATGCTTCTCCAGCATGTCGGACAAACTGGTGCGACTCTGTGTGATGATCAGCACATTCTTGCCACATTTGGCTGATTTTTCGCAAAGCTGGGCAAATAGGAAATAAATTGTTCAAATATAAAATGCATAAAGAATCGGCGGTATTTTTTCAAAATCATACTTGCACCAACAGTCGACCGTATTCCGTATTTGACGTGAGATAGATATGATTAATATTTGATGTGCTCATAACTTAATATTGAGATTTAATTTGATTTATTGTTTTAATATAATTGACAGAAGCTGGAGCGATTAAAAGGCGGCAAACAAGCAATCGGAGTAAAAAAAATACTGCGGAGCTGACACGATCAAACCGTGCTTGATAACCAATGCTAGTGACTATGATACGTATTTTCTATATCTGAATTTAAATGAATTATTTCCAATTTAAGACTTGTTATGAAAACTAAGCTCAACATATATTTAAGTTTAAAGAAATTCACAGTCACACGCGTTGCCACATAAATTCCGATAACAGTTATAAGCCGGCTGCCTACGACTATCGATCATTCTCTTTAAGAAACCAAATGACGTTTTTTATTGTCTAAGCAAGCACATGAAAATGCTTATAAAGCTTTCAAAATATAAAGAGGTATTAAGAAATATAAAATAAAATAACTTAGTTATTATGTGTAGAATAATTAACCAAGTGGCAACTCAAACATCTTTTCAACACTATTAGTGCTTACACGCCATCTATAGTTCACCACAGTCCACTGAAATGTATAAACATGACAGCCCTCTTTCACTGATGTTAAGACAGAGGAAAAAACGAGATAAATATATTGTGATGTATTAAAAAATTCAACACAGCCGTGCCGTGCCGACGGACAGAGTGCACAAAACGTAATGCAAAAGAATTGAAAAAAATCATCAAGTATAGAGGCCAAAACTCAGCTAACGCACCACAAAGTCAGGCAAATTAATTTTTTGATTAACAATTGAACGCAAACGTGTGCGCTAGCTGCTAACACGCAAAAAAGTGCGTGTATACAAGCACCAAAAACTGCGGTAAGATAAACAGCCAAAACCGTACAACAAAATAACCAGAAAAATACGAAGCGACCGACAAACCAACCAACCAGCCAACACACACACCCGCAGCCACACTTTAGTACACACTCCAGTGAAAAAGTGCAAGCCGCGAGCAGTTTTTTTTTGTTGGAGGCGAATATAAACGTACCAAGGAGAAAAGAAAACTTATTCCCCAAACTCTGATGCATGCGAATACGTTTCCGTGTTTTTAGGAACCAATATTCCAACGGCAAAGGCAGGCTAAAAGTGATAGCCACAGAGACACACCACACACACGCACGCACTACCACAAAGAGGACACACACATACACGCACGCACGCACGCAAGACAACCAGCAGCGGGCAGAAGGCATAATAGACCTCTAAAAATCAAGGCGCGCGCTCTGGCTGTGTGCGCCACTGCCCCCCAAGAAGAAGAAGAAGACGGCGACGACGTAGTAGAAGAATCGGATTTGGATCTGGACTTGAGTCTAAAGACAAACATAGACGACATAGATCCAGGCCAAAGCAACAATAACACCAACAACGGCGTGCATTCAGTCGTCACGGCAGAAGAGAAGGCAGAGGGCCAACAGCAAAATACACAATTTAACAAAACGGGTACAAAATTTAATGCATTAATTAATAGAAGAAGGAGCCGTAAGTCAACAATAACTGCAATTGCAACAACAACAGCAGCGGCAGAAACAAACACAGCACTGAGAATAGAGCAGCGTATTTGGCGAAAACTTTGCATTGATGGTAATGCATGCTAGAAAACCGCAGCGTATGAACGATGGGTAAATAATTTCAATTACAAATTTAATAACTTTATTCATTCATTCTAGTTAAGTAGTTGAATAGTTTAATTTTTGCCCTTTTGTTTACGTTCGTAGTCTCGAGTCTTTCCGCTTTGCTGCACGCCCATTGCAAGCAAAGCGTTGCTATTGCAGTCATAATTGTAATAGTTTATACATATATATATGTATTTATTGCCTATATATCATTCAGTACCTATTGCGCATCTTATATTTTAGTTATGGGTTCGTTTTGAGTTTTCATTTAGATAATAATATTGCATGAATTTCTTAATTTTACGTTTACTTCATTCTCCAATCGTTCGTAAGGCTTTGATTGTCGTTTTCGCTTTGCGCACGTTTTTCACCACGCATATTGCTCGCTCGCTCACACGCATGCAATTCATATGGCACATTGCTCAGCTGTCACGGGCGGTTGTAATATCGCGCTCTCTCTGTCTTTTGTCGTTTGCAGGCGGCACACACAAGCTCCAATAATTTTTCCACGGCAGCAGAGAGTAAAATTATTTCACATAAATCTGTGAATTTTATTATGTTTATTAAGGTTAAATTAGATTCGTTTTCCATATTAGCGCATGCTGCACTCAAATACTAAATAAAATACTTAATTCCCATAATACGCACACCACCAAGCCACGCCAAGCCAAGCCACAAGACAAATTCAGTCTCAAACAAAAATGCATAAAAGCACAGCCTAGTGAGCAGAGGTCAGGCCATTCGTCCGTCCAAGCAGCTAATAGCAATGGAAACAACGAACTAACATCGTCATCACCAGCTATATATCAGTCAGTTTGCCGGAACTCTGCACTTCAGCAGATTGCCGGCATAATTGAAAAGGCCGTCATCATCAGCAGCAGTAGCATCTTCGCTCTGGAACCGTTGATGGATAAATATATGTATGTATACGCACTAATTCGCAGCAGCAGCAATTGTTGATTTGTATTTCGGAGCAGTCGTCGCATACTGAACGTCGTCGTCATGGCTAGACAATGGGCAGAGCCGTCATCATTGGAAATTCGATACGAAACAATAAACATCGAGGTGCAATGGAAAATCTAGAAGCCATGCAACTTAAATACATGATTGAATTGCCAAGCATAAGCAAAAGCAGCTGCCTCCAATAACAATAACAAATATGCATCAGACCAATGCAACTATTATAACAATGCCCTCCTGCATTATTGTCAACAACAGCAACTTCAATTGGCTAAAGTTGATTGTTAAATGGATCTGTGCAGTGTTGAATGAACGTAAATACAATTATGATGTTTATTAACACAACCAGGCTCGCCCCAACGGGAGTTGTGGATGAACCCATAAATAAGGTGTGCTTGGAATGAAATACCGTGCCGGTTATGCTTGTTTCGGGCTTATGTCGGCTTTGGCCGGCTCTGGGAAGAATGTGCCATCGATAAATATTTACCTCTGCTTTGCTATATAGAACTTCGTTAACAACGTTCATTCTTAAAATCAACATTGTATATAACTCTAGCAAATATGTTTAAATAATAGACATACCTAAGCCAAGTAATGCATGTCATATATATATGCATTAAAAGATATTTATTATCAATGTAATGTCCTACCTTTTCCATCACTAATTCAGTTTATTACTTTGATTTCTTACAGGTACTTTGAGAAGCATACCAGTCACACATCCTACCAGGTGAGCAAACAATATTGCCGCAACGAGGTTCCTCAACTTTAGACGCTTGTGTTCAGCACTTGCAATTTGAATCTATCAGCGCTTACTAATCTAATATTTTGAAGCAATCTTTTGTGTTTGTTTATACATATATTATATTGTAGGTAGCTTTGTTTTTAGTTTGTAACTAATTAAATAGCTTAACTAATCACTTGTAGTAGGACAGAGTTAGAGCCAAAAAGCCAAAGCACAGCCACCAAACGTAGCAGTTGTCAATTCTGATAAAGCTCCAATTATTTATTTATTTGTTTTCCTTCTCACACTTAACTCTCGTGTCTCTGGGGTAACAGCCTTGAGAAAATGTTTTTTGTAGCACTTGCTGAGCAATCCATTTTTTAAATTAGGCAACTCAACCATCCAAATAGCAAATAGTTGCTTTTTCCAAACTCTACTCTATAGATTGGACAAAAGCTTCTGATGTTTTTTTTTTTTTTTTTTTATAATTTGCACAAACGTTTTCCCCCCCAAATACAACAAACATTGTATTTTTGTGTCTGCCCCCATTTTTCTATTCATGCATCATTCTAACAACAAGAACATGAACAATATATCAACAACAACAACAATACCAACAACAACAACTACTACTACTACAACAACAACAACATCGTCACCATCTTTAACTTTGTCATTGTTTGTTCACATTGGGTGCATCATTGACTGATAAGTTTCATATTTGTACCCTATTATGGCAACGCGGCATTGCAGCGAAGCAAGCGAACTAACCTTAATAATTAGCATTTGGATAACTGGAGCGATACTCTGAGTATTTCCCTTTCGATTGACAGCTAAAACAAAAAAAGAACGAACGCGTTTAATGCAAAAAAAAAATAAACAAACATACAAATTTTAAGCAAAAACAAAATTCTACAATTCTAAATGCAAATTTAAAAACAAGAATCAATAAATATGCATAGTTATAACGGATTTTTAAAACTTCAAAATTTACAACTAAATTACAATAATAATAATAACAATATTATCATATGCTTCAAAATTACAACTAACAACAATAACTAAATAATATAAAATCAATCACACAACACCACCATCGAAGGCCATATAAACAAAAGCAACAAGAACAACAACAACTCGTCGTCGTCTTCTTACTTTAATATTGATGCAGGTTTTTCAATATACAATGACCAATAACATTATATTATTAGCAAGTAGAATCGGCTCAACTTTAACTTTAAATATTAAACAATAGTACATTCAATGAACTTCCAATCAACATACATATTCAACAAATGCGTGCGAACAACGAATTACAACAACAACAATTATAATTATAATTGCAACAAAACTAGCTACCCAGACGCCGAGACGAAAGTCTGGGAGCTGCTGCCTAAACATCAATATCACACAATACGTAGCCTTAAAAAACGAACATAAAACTCGCAAAACATTCAAAGAAAGCAACACAAACGTGCCTAAAACATAAAACAATAAATTAACAAACAACAAAAAAAACAACAACAGAGCAGGATCTCATCAAAAACAAAAAAAGAAAAAATAAATAAATAAAACAAAAAACCAACAAACAAAGAAAAAAAATCGACGAATCAACAATTTTTCAACCGAAGGACTTACACGTTAGCCCAAGCCTCAAGCTGCAGCGCCTTTGCAGCATACGAAGCGCCCAAAGCGCCGATAACAACAACACCAACCGGAACAAGAACAGCAGCAACAACATTTTAGAATTCAATAACAAACGCCGGCCAGCCTGGTCCTCGAAGCTTTTACAGCAGCACGAAGTTGTTAAGGAACGTAACAACAACAACAATAACGACGACGACAACAACAACATTTATAACATAAGCAGCAAGAACAACAGCAACAACACGGCCAACATAGACGTGTTGCTGCAACAGCTGAGGCAGGCAAGGGCCAACGGCCACGCCTATCATTGCCAGCAACAAATACATCAGCAGCAGCAACATCACCAACAGCAGCAGCAGCAGCTATTAAAGACAACGCTGACGCCGACGCCGACGACAATACGCTGCACCTCGTTAACGCCACCTATGACGAGCACAAACAATAACACCAACAACAACAACACCAACAACCACAACATTACTAACAACAGCAGCAACATGGCCGTTGATATGTCTCTCGTGGCGCCGCCGTTGATGTCCAATAAAACAACAACAGCAGCAGCGGCCGCCGCAGGAGCAGCAGCAGCCGGAGTAACAACAACAACTGCAGCATCAGCGGCAGCAGCGGCGGCGGCAGCAGCAGCAGCAGCGGCTGCAGCAGTTGCTGCCGTTGGTTTGTATCGCGTTGACGTAAGTATTCATAAAAAATAAAAATAATATAAAAAAAAAAAAACAACAACTATTACAACAACCAACAAAACAGAAACAACAACAACAACTACCAGAACAAGAACAATTACAATAATCAGTACAGCAAGAATAACAACAACAACAATAAGAATAATAGGCATATTAAACCAAACAACAATAATGAAATGATATGAGCGGCTGCAGACAAAAAGGGCAACAGAAATCACAAATTGAACATTTCCAATAATAATAATTATATTATAATATTAAAAGACATGAGTCGAAATGGAATAAATCGAAGCAAATCCAAAACAAAAGCAACACACACACACACACATATGAACAAGTACACACACACACACACCAACACGAACACCACGCAAAAGTTAACAAAAGTCAAAGTTTAAGAAACGCGCTTTTTCGTCATGGCGGCCCGGCAACCAAAATTGTGTATAAAAATTGAAAGTTTCAAAAAAATTAATATTTATATATATGTATGTGTTCCAAGTTTTCTGTTATCTTGTTGTCTCTTTATTTCCACCTATAATGCGTTCGTTTACAAGAATCCAGCCCCGGTCCTACCAACCAAACAACCCTTTCACCTTCCCCCAACTGGCAAAGCAAATTAAAAAGGAGGCTCGCATTTTATTTTTTTTTTTTTTATATATTATTATTATTTTATTTTTTTGGTAACTTCCGTTACAAAATTCCAAATTGCAAAGCATTTCAATAATCAAGCAACAACCAAAAAAAGAAGAAGAGATCATTCATACATTAAAGAATTGGCAAACAAAATTAGAGAGTCTTATCGTAGCGACAAAATGAAATTTGAAAAACCCCAAAAATGTTCCCCATTTGAAATGAAACTACACTAGATGGCAAAAGTAAATTGATTCAAATAACAATATTTTTTTTGGACATATAAATTAAATTAACCTTATAATGGATATATCTATAGATAAAAAACGATTCGAAAAGGCGCTCGGACGTTAAATAAAAGCCTCAAAGACATACCTCTATAATAGATAAAGCTTTAAAGATACATTTAGAGGTAGCGCAATCCAGATTTCCTATTCTCTGCTCATTGCAAAATATTTTCAAAACTTCCAAGTCTACTAAAACATGAAATTTAAATTCCCAGCCCAAGTATTATTGGCTGTAAATCAAACGATCGTCAAATCGCTGCAACAACATTGTATATCTAAACGATATTAGTAATGCTGCTTTGAACTCAAAACCTATAATCATGATCGATCGTAAAACGTGTTGGAAAATATGGTAACAAGTTCATTTCAATACATTTTTGCCAACTATGTGTGCGTTTAAGTATTTTTTATAATTTAAGTATTATATATATAAATATATATATCATTTAAATATAATTATTGTAGTTACTAACCCATTGGCACTGCGTTTCTTGATCAACTTTCGTACTGTCTTGTGTCATATCGTCGCCATAGCGAACACAAGTTGGCTTAGCAATATTGTTGTTTCGTCCGACCGATCTTACTAAATGCATAATGAATTCTTTTGACAGAGCTCAAAGTACAGCAGTTCAAAACGCGACTATGAACGCGATCGTTCATCGAACTATCGCGATCGTGACATCTCACCTGGCGCTGGTGGCGGCAACGGCGGCAGCGGCGGCGGCGGTGGCAACGCTGGTGGTGGTGGCGGTGGTGGCCCACTGAACAATGGCAACAGCTATCGCTCACAATCACCGGACATAGATTCGCCCTCATCACGGGGCGGTGTTCATAGCTCTCATGGTGGCGGCAATTACAGCTTCATACAGAAGATGCGCGATCGGGATCGCGATTTATACAAGAAGGATAAATATTCCGGTGAGTAATTGCTGTTTGAAAAGAAATCATTCCTTAACAATATACTGCATTAGATCTATAATTGGATCAGCGACGATTCAATTAAAGAATGATTTTATTAAACCCCTTAGCGAGCTTCGAATGTGTAGATCAGTTTCAGAAATTAGCTGTGTAGCGTAAAAAGAACGATTGAGAAATGGATTCGTTAACTTAAATCTACAATTGGATCGGTCATATTTCAATTAAAAACGACCTTTCAAACTTTCTCGACAGTATTTCCTTTTCAAATCGATAGTCTTATACTTATTTTTGGAAGGTTCGAAAACGTACAACAGAATTAAATATCGATTGAGAATTGATTTTTTCAATCCCTGATTGACCGTTCGCGAAAGATATCAATGAATCTTTAAATTCCATTCGTATTTCCTTGCCTTTCGATCGATTAAAAAATGATCTGACTTCGTAACATACATAGTTTTTCTTTGGTTTTATATCAGTAAAATGTTTTCTGTAATTAACATTAGTAATTATGCATTTTTCGGGAATTTAGTATAACAATCATTTGATTTCACTTTAGATAAGCGAGATCGGCGCGGCAACGATCGGGACTCGGAGTCGTATCGCACGAATCATGACAGGGATCGGCGGGGCGGTGGCGGCGGCAGCAGTAGCGGAGCAAAACTCTGTTCATCCCGAGACAATGACAAACGCTCAGGCTCGGATGATCGCGATCGGGAGCGCATGCGCGACAAGCGAGATCGTGGCACAGACCGTGACAGGGATATGTACAAGAAGGACAAGTATACAGGTCAGTAAAAGACAATCGAATACAAATCCCACATGATCCAATAAGAGATGCCTTCTTTGTTGCAGACAAACGCGAGCGCAGCGATCGTGGAGAGCGCGTGCCGCGGTATGGCGACTGGAGTGAGCATGTTAGCTCCTCGGGTAAGTCATCTTCCTTCAGAAATTGACTTCGACAGGAAGAAAAAGAGAGAGACAGAGAGAGACGAAGGGAGGGAGAGAGATATAATAAACTTTACTGATCTTTTTTTTAGGGAAAATGTATTACTACAATTGCAAGACGGAGGTCTCCCAATGGGAGAAGCCGAAGGAATGGGCGGATAGAGAAAGGTAAGGTCTTGTGACGCTCCACGTAGGGTCCACAAGCTGTGCGCACATTAGACATTATTAACTGGTCTATGCTTATCTGATTGCAGAATTTTACCGCGTGATCAGCATCGTGAGAAGGACTACCGCGACAAGGAACGCGATCGAGATCGCGATGATCGCTTCCCAAGATCGGGTAGGTATTAATATAATATAAATTAATTGTCTTATTTAACATTCGCTTATATTTTATAGCTTATAAACATTCCAATTCATCGCGCGACAATTCACGACTGAGATGGAATTACGACAACGATGGTGGGCCGCCCAGTCATCGAAGGCGTTTAGATGGTAAGTAATTGCACTTGACTATAAACTAGACTACACGTTCACATTTGATTGTGATAAAGATATCAAGCGAACAAAAAAACCCAAAAACAAAAATCTAGCTGCACTTGATTGTTTGCAGTAATCACTAGAAATGTTTAGCTAACATTGATTAGTGATTAGTTTAAGCTTTAAGTTAATAATTACTATTAGAAGTAATCTTATGGATTACTCAAATTAGTTATTAATCACTGATTATTTTTACATTTGATTCACATTTTTGTGTTTACCCACAGGTCGACATAACGATAATGCTGACATGGACATAAGCGGTGATTCAACGCCCACATCGGAGGCAAGCTACTCGCTGACGGGCACACCCACCACACATGGCGGTGCGGCGCTAAACGATCCAGCTGTTGTCCTGCCACCGGGCGCTATTCCGTGTGCAATGGGGAATGCATTACCACGACTAGCATCACATCCCAATCCGATGTCGTGTGTCGGTTCTGTGCTGCCGATGGGAACGGCAGCAGCTGCTGCTGCAGCAGTCGCTATGCACTTTTCGGCCACAACGGTGGGTGCCGGTGGTGTTGTGGTCACCGGCGGTCCCGTTAGCGGCGCTACCATGTTGCCCACCACCGGCCTTGCCTCAGTGCCGCCAACAATCGGTGGCACGCCCATGTCGTCAATCTCCAACAGCAACAGCAGCCTTAGAAACTCAGTTGTCGGCCACATTGGTTCAACGTCCAGTGTAAGTACAAAGATCAGAAAATAATATGCCCTTCATTATACCCTGTAAATCCTGCCCGTTATCGTGTCCGTCTGTATGAACGAGGAGAACTTTTGAAACGTAAAAGCAAGGGACACCAAACTTGGTAGATTTAGTTAATTACAAATTTGATATTGCCTCAATATTTTATACTATAACTGTATCGATCGGTGTTCAAATCCTGGTTAGTGTAATAACTATTTTGTTTATTACAATATATTTAAATTTGGCATAACCAGGTTTCCTTTAATGTACCACTGTAAAGCTTTCAAAAACTATAGGTAGAAGCAGAGGGTATGGGTATAGCGCATAGAAGAGTCTATTCTCTCCAATTACCAACAGTTTTCTACTTTTCCACAGACAACGGTGCCGACTTTAACAAATCAGGAGCATCATCTAAACTCGAATGCGCCGGGGCCGCCAAATAAGCTGCTAGTGGGCGGAAAGGAGACGTCATCGCTGATAATGCGCCAACAGATGCTGAGCGGCCTCGATGTTGGGCATCATTTGATGGCCGCTGGCGTGCCTGGGTCTGCTGCCGTCAGCGCAGGCGGCTCTGTTGTTGTTGGCGGCAGCAGTTGTAGTTTAATAGGTGGTGGTGTCGGCGCTTCCACAGACGCAGTGAATCATGCGTACAATTCGGTTAATTCCGTTTCCGCTAGCAGCTTAAGCAGTTTAAGGTGAGTGTGTGTTGATTACAATGACGAATTAATTACCAACATGGTAATCATGCATTTCATTCAATTTTGTAGAGATAATCCCGTCAACTCGCCACTGTATATGCAACATCCGCATCACAGTTTGTCCCCATCATTGAATTACACCAAGAGCCCGATCCCAACGATTGTGGGTCACACGAACAATGTGAATGCCACAAATATAGCTAGTTGTGGTGGTCTAAGCAACGCCTATACCTGCAATCCACCATTCACAATGAAGACTGTTGACGGCAGCGGCGTAATGGCCGGTGTGGCAAGTGTTGTTGTTGCTGGTGGCAGCGGCGGCGTTGGCCCCTCTGGCTGTGCTCCAAATGCCAACAATATTGTGACCGGCTTGGGCACTGTCAGTGGTATCAGCGTCATCACCTCCATGGGCAGCAATAGTCTATGTTCCAGCGCAGTGCTGCCCGGCGAGGGACCGCCAACGCCTACACAGGAATTAGATTTAAGTGGCTCAGCTTTAGAACAACAACATGCTGCTGCAGCAGCAGCAGCGGCGGCAGTTGCTGTGATGCAGGCAACGCAGCAACAGGCAGCGCAGCAGGCGCAACAGCAACGCAAGCGTAAGTCCATTAAATAAACAAAATTTAATTAAAATTTCTCCATTCACTTTTTATGCACTCTTTTGTTTTGTTTTTCTCTTGCAGTTGATGGCGCTGCCTCGGCCACACTGAGTACGCTGCAAAGCTGTGTCACCTCCTCCGTGCAGGCGGCAAACTTGCGTGGACCCGAAATATCGCCCAAGCTGGCCAAATATTTTCGTGCTGATTTGATTGCGCATGTGACCAACTGGCAAGCGGAGGCCCTGGAGCGTCAGGTAAGACAAAAAACCTATATATAAACAAAAAAAATATAAAATATAAATTACATAAATTCCACAATATTGACTTTGTCCGTCTGTATGAACCGCGAGATTTCTTCAACCATAACTGCTAGATATATCAAATTTGTTATGTAGATTTGTCTAACCTATATGCACAGTGCAATTTATCACTCATCATATATAGCTTTGTTTTTTTTTTTACTCGAATGTATCATCGTTATATCTTCTAATAATATTATTTTAAGATATTCTGAAGTTTCATTGAAATCCTAACTGCCATAGGAAGGATCGGTTAAAAATTTAAAAATATTTGTGTATGTCTTTATGTTTTAAATGCTGTCTCACTAATAATTTCAAAAGTCATCGAAATAGAATCAATATGGAACGAAGTCGATTTCAATTGTTTGACCGTGTAGGGCGAGTAAAATAGCAATGAGATCCATTAAATGATTTATAGTAAAATAAAATTAATATTTAATTGAATTAACAGGACACGCGAATAGAAATAATAATAGGTTTTATCTACCATTTTAAAATCCCATTAAAACATTTAATGTTTTGATTCTAAAACTCATACTTATCTTTATGAATTTCCTTGTATTTCTGGATAGGCGCAGAAATGCTGTGAGGATACGCATCTATTTGGTGACATTACCTGCACACGTATCTGCGCCGAATTGAAATGCGCACGCAGTCTGGTGCGTAGTACGGAAATCAATGCCACTCTGCAGGAGCAAAAGTAAGTTGAAAACAAATCATCCTTGCCAATATGAGACAAGCTTGAACTAATCGTTTATTTTCTTTTTATAGAATTATGTATCTGCGCCAACAAATACGCCGTATTGAGGAGTCGAAGACTCAGAACGCGTTCATGTCTGACGATACTTAGGATCAGGAGCAAATTAGGCTGCGCGTGCATCGTAAATTGGCGGTAAGGCTTAAAAAGAGCCCGCTATGGCGCAGCTGATGATGATGATGATGCTAATGCTAATCAAGCTCGTGCTCAAGCTGATGTTGAAGCTGAAGTTGAAGCTCGATGAAGCAGTCGGCAACAGCTACGGTCAGTCAATGGCAGCGGAAGCAGCAGAAACAGCAGCAGCGACTGTTGGTGGCAGCAACGGAAACTGTTGATGGCAGCTAAGTAGCAGCAGCAGCAAAAATATTAAGAGCAACAACAACAACAACTACTACTACTACAATAACAACCATAAGACCACTAAGGAGCTGGGCGGGCAGGGCTAGCAAAGTTGCACACAAACAACTCACCAAACACACACGCATGCACACACAACGGCGGCGGCATGGGAAGCTAAAAAGAATAGAATCCATAATATGAAAAGGAAAAACCCTAAAAATAATTTATGATTAGCAAAAGTAATTTTAAAAGAAATCAATTTTTTAATAAGCATGAAGTAAAGCAGCGTGTATTGTAAACAAACAAACAAAGAAACAAAACACAAATGCCGTTCAAAATTACTAAACAAGAAAAAACAAACACTTAAACCATTTGATCGATCCGCAAAACTAGAGAACGCAAGTGGATATACAACCAAGACCCACACCCACACACCCACAGCTAACTGCAAACAAACAGACACAGATACGACAAAAAAGAGTTCAATAACAGGTCAACAGTTTTGTAAATGTATGTATAGCCAGCAAGTAAGCAAAAAAGCAGGAGAGCGATTAACCAACCAACCAACAACAACACCAATAACAACAAGCAATATAGAAGAAGCCTCGAAAAGCAACAAAACAAACAAAACAAATTGCGAAAATAAAAAAGTCAACATAGTATACTCAAATGCAATAAAGCTAATTTAACTATACATAGAAATTATACATATATGTATATACACATATAGATATATCTATATATAGCATATGGAAATGGAAATTTATATATTTACACACGCGACAGCCTGCAGCCAATAAGAACGGCAAGGAAGAACAGGATGTGGTGGTAGCAGCAGAGCAGCAGCAGCTCAGTGGAATTGCAGCACAGACTTAAAAATAAAAACCAAATTGAATCAAACCAAACCCAGACCTTGCAAAACAAAAACCAACTTAACAAAGACTATGAATATATGGGCGGGTGAATACATACACACACACACACACACATACACACAAACAGACAGACAGACCGAGAGACGGATAGACGAAGGGACACACCCACATATTAAGCCTTTTGTAAAACGCCTAGAAAGCATAAATGAAATGAGTGATGAATGGGGAAAAGCAAGCGACATTTTTTTGTGCTGCTCTTTGCGTTTAGCAGAGGACTCATCATCATCATCATTATGAATAAATACATACACATATGTAAAAAGAAATCGGATATATACTACTATATATATCGTAAGTTTGAACAGTGCGCCAATTTGTATTGTTAGTTAGTTACCATTTTTTATTTGGCATTGCATTGATTGATAAAACAAAAAGGCTCCCTCTCGCGCACTTTCAAAGTTCATAGTTTAATGCACACACACACACCCCACAAACACACACACACACATAAATACCAGAATATACACATACGCGGTTCTTCATTAACTTGGTCAACAACTATCTTGTGAACCAATTTTGAAAGCTGTAGAGACCCCGAGCCGAGCTGAGCCTTCTTTTTTTCTCACTTCATGCCTCTTTTTTAATTATTCACACACACACACACGTATATATATATATATAAATATATACATATATATATATATATATATATATATATATATATATATATATATATATATATGGTAAACATATAATTTTGTCGTTAGTTACGAAACGCTATTTATTTTCTTGGCAGAGCAGAAACTGTATAAATAATAATAACAAAGCAAAGAATGCAATGTTTTTACCAAGTGGGGATTTTTTTAATTTTTGAAAAAATGCTAACTTTTTTTTATATAATTAAATGCAAAACTTTTTTTTCTTCTTCTTCTTGTGATTTAAGGACAACAAACGTAATGAAAGAATAACTAAAAAAAAAATAAAAACAAAAGAAAAATAATAATAATGCGCGTATGTAAGTGTAATATGAGTTATTAAAAGATTAATAATAACGATTGTAGATATACATATAAATAAATACGATGATATATTATATATATAAATATATATATTTAAATACAAGCTACAAAAAGTAAAACCTTATATTAGCTAAGCGAAAAGAGCGAAAAATAGAAACTTTTATGATTAAAAACGAATTTAAACGTATGTTTTCTTCTATTCACTGCTTCCTTGGTTTGTGTCCCATTTTTACTTTCCTCAGTTTGCATTTCAGTTTCGATTTGTTTTTCAGTACAGCGGCGCAACAACAACAAACCAAAAAAAAAAGATTGAAAAAAATCGAAACGAGCATGAAATGGTTTTTTCAAAACAAAAGCAAAGCAAAACCGAAAGAACCCGACTACCCTAATAAGAACACTTGACTGCCCAAAAGGTGCCGCTGCAAGCAGCTGCGCCTAAAACGCTACTCTAAAAAAATATATAGCACAAACACAAAGACACGCGCGCACCGAGCGAGAGAAAATGGCGGCGCTTGAACACGAAAACCTAAAAATCTAACAAATAAAACTATTTAAAAGAGTAAAAGCAAAACATGCCATATACACATACTAAGTACATACACACATCTATTTATATATAGACATATACATACATACATATAAATAAATATATAATGTATGGTTCATATTTATTATTTGCTAATTTCGTTTGTTTTAGAGAGCGAGCGCAACACACAACTAGAGACAAGGGAGCATTTATAAATATTAAAAAAAAAAAAAAAACAAAATGAACAAAAATAAATAATATAGTCTAGGTAAAAAAATACAACAAAGCGCATACATATAAATATATATAGTAATTTAATAAATTAAAAACAAAAAGAGAAAAAAATAAACTAACAATAATATTAAACACTAATGCATGCGGCCCACAATTCATTCTCAAATGTAGTCCAGCATCCCCGTTATAATCTCGAAGGCATCGCGCGCTGTCGGCTCAATGGCGCTGCTGGGCAGCAGATACCCATGGACGCCATTATCGGCCAGTTGCAGGGTATAGCTAAAGGGTATACCGATTTCATAGGCGGCAAACGCATCGGCACAACCTGCAATATAACAGAAAGGGATCCAATAACAAATTTGGTTGCAATATCGTCCATGTTAAATATATATTTTGCACCGATTGTTCCCATGGCAGCTATATGGGATAGTGTTCCGACTTCAAAGAATTTTCAGCACATACTTAAATAATAATAAATAAAATTCGTTTCAATATCGGACAATATAGCAACGATTTTTCATTAGGATTCGTTTTTTTTTTTTTTTGTGACATCGTTCCTATAGCTGCTAAATCAAATAATGAGGGCTTATATGGTTTGTAATAAACTTGATCTGCATATGCAAAAGACAAGTCTGTGTGCCAAGTTTGGTGACTCTAGCTTTTAGAGTTCAAAAGTTCTCGAGGTACATACAGACAGACAAAAGCTTCCTCCTGACATGTTGATTGTTACATAATGCTACATTATTCAAACTGTTTAGTATACCTTTAGGAAGACTTTGGGACTTAAAAATACATGACTAGAGGAATCCGAAAACTTGAAAATTGTTGTTGGAATAGGCGAAACTTTCTTTAACGCTTATTTAAATACTTCTCGAGACGCTTGTATATTTCCCATTTAAAAGGTAAATCAAAATAACTCACCAGATCGATGCTCGATTAGATCATGCGCCGAGTCCACTTTGTAACGCGCCTTGCTGCCCCTTTTACGCAAACAATCTGTACCAACCATGGCAACATCCAGAAAATCATCCATACGCTCCGCATTGAATGTTGAATTCGCCTTGACGGGATAGGAAATCACTTGACCGTAGGCCTGCAGGGATATGTACAGCTATGGCGGTAAACAGCAAAAATGTAGAAACCAAAACGTTGTCTCTATATCTGAATTCGATCGTATACCAACCTTAATTTGCGTGCGATAGTCCATGAGGAACTCTGAAACCGCTTTCGTTTCGGGCTCCGAGAACGGAGTTGGCCCCGCATAGAACTCATTACAGGGTGTCTTGGAACTACCCCGCTTGCCCCAATGATACAGCCAATTCCGATCCAAGTCAACCCCATAGCAGACCTTTTCACTATTTCGTTTCTGTTGCAGCCAAGTCATGGCTGAGTTTAGAATGCCGCCCTGGGTTTTGGCCACATGCCGGGAACGTGACTTTTTCCAAAAACGATCGTACTCATGACTGTACACATACCCATCCGGATTGAGGACCGGCATAATGTACCAGGTGGTGTTGCGTATGGACTCGTAGTCCGGATCGGTTTCTGGCATGAAAAGAGTACAAGGGTTAACATTTAGTTTTAGAATATCTTATAATTGAAATAATATTGGTAACATCTATTGATTAAATATATAGAATAGATATATAGAATTAATAAGATATCTCATAGTCTTGACCTCTTCACGCGCTTCCCTTTTATTTTTGAAATCGTCATGCTAACAAAGTTTTTGGCTCTTTTTAGACTTTCACTTTTGCGGACAGATTCTAATCTGTATTTAGGTTAGGTTTGGGGGTTAAGGTTCAGCTTGGGATTGGCCGGTAGCTCATTGAACGCCAGAACTTTTTTTATAGCTTTCTCAATGTTTATTTGAAATTCAATCTAGTGAGCTATGTAGCCAGTTTTGTTATTTAGCTCTGTAGATCAAAATACGAATTTTCGTCTACAGCCTGTAGGGGCGAGCAATATCAGAAGCACCAAATTCATAGTTCCTTTACGGCGTTTCCCATGCATGCAGCTCCGTAGGCAACAATTGTGCCAAAGGCTGCCACAGGGCCAAAGAGAAAGAGGAGAAAAACGTAAACAGAAACAATAAAGCCAACAGGATGAGTGCCAGACAGCCACCGGCCCGGTGCGTATGCAATCCGGATCACCATTGCCGTAGCATGCGGCCGGCAATCTTCAAGTCACCGCCCTGCCCGTGCATGAAGTGTAAGGAGCGTAAGGGACAGGCAGCCATGCTGAAGGGCAGTGGTAACGCCTGCTCTGGCCGTCAGGGAGGCGCTCAGGGGGGCGGAGGCTGTGGAGGGGGAAGTCCCGGACCTGGTGGCTATGGGTTTCGAGGAGCCTATGCGGCAGACAACGACTGCGGTTGCTCGGCAGTGGTGGCGCATCAACGCGAAGCTTCGAGAGGCAATAAAAGCCTTTGTGGACAGGCAAATGACAAATGTGGGCGCGGGAGTACGGGTGCTGGTAATGGCAATCAAAATTCAAATGCATTTGACTATGGTGGTGGTGGTGGTGGCTGTGGTGGCTGTGGTGGCGGTCCTGGCACTGGCACTGGCAATGGCGGTGGCGGTGGGTGTGGAGCAGCAGGAGGCTCTGGTGGTAGTGGCTGTGGAAATGCTGGTGGCTGTGGTTCTGGTGGTGGAAGGTCCGGCAACTTCGGAACTCGTCCCGCTGGTGGACCTCCGAGTATATGTGGTCCCATGAGCTCCAATTGTGCCCCCGGATGCGACAGCAATGCCTATGGAGCCCAACCTAGCGCGCCTGCTCCGGGTGGTGGGTGGCCAGCAGATGGCCCTTGCAAATGTATGGAGAACACTATAGTCAGCAGCAAGCGTGGCTCCATTCCGGGAAGTCCATTAAAGTCTAGCATCCGCAGTCCGGGAGCAAATTCACTTTCGGCTGCGGCTTCGGCTGCCGCATCGGCCGCCGCTTCCGCTGTGGCCTCGGCTGTGGCTTCAGCTTCAACAGCAGGTTCAGGGTCCAGACGATCGTCCGCTTTAATGAGAGAAGGCTTTGCCGAAGGATATTGCCATCCAAGCTTCCGTGGCACTGGCACATTTCCGGATGATATGCTAATTGATCCAATCACGGGTGCACCCATGGCTATGTGCAGCGCCACCACCATGTGCCCCAATGAGTGCGGCCTCGGCACCGGCTGTCATGCCGCCTGCTTTAATCGCGCCGGAAGTCCACGCAGCAGCAAGCGGAGCAGCAAGCACAGCAGTTCTAGCTTTCGTGGGCCTGTTGGCGTCGATTTGTTTGGCAACGAGAAAGTGAACATGTGCCTCACCTTCATCATGGAGGTACTGGGAATTCTAGTGTATGTATTCACAAATAATTGATTCCATCTGATTCGATCTCATCTGATCTGATTTGATCTGATCTCCTTTCTCATAGTTTCTTCGCCATTTGCACCATTACCTTCTGGATAACCATTGGCTACTATATTGTGCAATTACTTATTGATCTAAAGAATGCGCAGCGCAATGTCCAAATAGCTGTCCTCATTTTCATTAGCATACTAGTGATCGCCTTTTGCATAACATTGGTGACCAGCAATCCGGGGGGATGCTGCAAGAGTCGCCAAGCGACGAGCAAGTCATGGAAGTTTCGAAGCAAATGTGATGCCAATGCCAAGACCAAATGTGCGGCCAAACCCGTGAAGAAGGTCGCAAAGGTCAGCACGCACAAGTGCAGCAGTTGTGGGGCCACTTGCAAGCAGAAGACTAAGCCGGCCGGTTGTTCGGCACGCAAGTCCTGGTTTCTGCCCCAACGCTCCTACACCGACTGTGAGGGACGAGAGATTTTCCAGAATTCGCGCCGCTATGCCATACCCACAGAGATGAAGCAGCCCCCCACTTTGGTCATCTGGTTGCGCGATTTCGCACGACAGTTTTTAGGCACCAATGCATAGGAGGCGCTGTCTAGTCTGGCCGTTCTTAAAATCCAAAACAAAATTTCACGTTTTCCAAATTGCAACAAAATAAACCTAAGCTGAGAAAATGAAACCGCAGCGTTAGAGTTTTCTTTTCATCTGCTTCGAGCTTTAAAGGGCAAGTCCTTTCTCAGCTAACCTAATCGGTAAATAGAAGACGAGTAGCTCCCTTTCAACCCTTAACTCCCTAAGGACAGACAACCTACACAAATGAATTGTTCCGTCGACGCAGAGTTCCAGCTCTGAAGAGATTAAGAATGTGGAGTAGAAGGAAATTCATGGAACAGATTATGTATTCTTCGACGAGAGAACTGCTTTCAATCATAAGGGAGGTGGAGCTATTCTAGTCCCTGTAGGGGCCACACATATTGAGCCACAAGAGGTTAAATAGAGTCATTGCCTATCGTAAGTCTCTCCCTCTCCCCCCACATTATAATCATCAAAATAAATACCAATTTAAAATCTTTAGCATTAGCCACCCACCTAGCCCCCAATCAAATGAACAGCACCATTCCAAGGCCTTTATTCCATAGAGCTTCATGACGCCATTTAAAAAAAAACATCTCTTACTCTGAAGCTCCCTCATCCGCTTATGCATTTTTTGAATCAATGTCTTGACTACTTTCTTAATTTAATTTAATTAGAATATTAAGACAATCCCTTCGCGAAAAATAGTTCTCCCATACTCACTGTTTGTTCGCATTAAGCGTAGCAGTTCGCTGATCATCCAGGTGGCCGCCGCAGGTCCAATCCAGGCCAGACCATGCGCACCCGCCTCGATGAAGACGGCATTCGCCTGACCCGACTTTCGTTTATACTTTAAGCGCTTGTGACTGTTCGCAACCGCGGCTCTGGCCGCGGCAGCCGTCTGCTTCGACTCGATCTTAACCACGACCAGGGGTCGTCCTTCGTAGGAGCGGCCTATGTGTATGAGCTCGACGAGCTGCGCATGCCGCATACGTATCGTTTCCAGGTAATTTATGATGTCATCGTGCTCATAATATTTATTCCAGGTTATCGCCGGTTGCGTGGGTGCAGGTCCGAACTTGCTGGGCTTGGCCGGTCGCTTACTGTGCGTGGGTGTGGTATAGAGGTAGTCCTCTTTGGATTGCTCATAGGAAATGGCCTTTCCCACATCGAAGATCAGCACTTCGTGCGCAATACCCTCAAAATTGAGGGTGCCCTGCAAGTCAACGAGCATTTTCGGTGGCACGAGGACATCGGTGAGGCCTCTGTCAATATTTTTAAGCATCAAGTTATAGATGGTGTGGTTTGTCGATCGGTTTAATTACCTTAGACTTGGCCCCTTAAGCCATTGCAGCTTGTTGCCGTCCTCGCCCTTCTTGAACTCCTCCAGAGCCCGCACCTGGGCCTCATCTTGCGGCTTTAGACGCCAGATCTGAAACTTTTCGTAGCTTATCCGTCGCGGAATATCTGGATTCTCCGTCGTGGTGGTGGTGGTAGTTACACGAGTCAACGCTTCCATTAGTGGATTGTGTGTGGTTGTCGAGCTGCTCGTCGTGTTGGCAATGTGATGGGCCAGTATGCCAATCCAGTTTTGTGGGTTACGCAACGGATCCACAATGGTCAGTATGGGAACCTGTGGTGTTGGTGTTGTCGTTGTTGTTGTCGATGTGGTTGTGCGGCGACGTGCCTTCTGCTTGGGCTTCGAGTCGAACCAGCTAGAAAACCATTCTAGGCATATACAAGAAATATAAAAAAAAGCAGACGACATTAATATGGGATTGGAGCGATGAAAACGAAAGTAGAAGCAGGCAGAAAGCGTGACAGACAATGATAAACGTTGGAAGGCAAAGCAAATAAACCATTAAATATACTACAATAGGTCAGTGGATCGTGGATACAACTATAAAGAACAAGTGATTGGGTAACTGACTTATACTGAAAGATTCAATATAATCTTACTATCGTAGTCATCTTCTTCGATGGACGCTGCTGTCGTTGTTGTCTTGCCAAAGCCGAAGCCCAACCATTCCAGCCAGCCGGGCTCCTCGGTAGGTGCTGGAGCTGGTGCTGGCGTTGGCGTCAATGGCATCACTGTTGTGCTACCAATTTTCTTTGTACGTCGCCGTAGACCGAACCACGAACTGAACCAGCCACCCAAGGAGCTAGACGAGTCTTCCTCCTCATCCACATCATCATCATTATCATCATCAGCAGCAGCAGCTACGAACTCATTGCTGCCCTTGCTATGGGCACTATGATAGAGCGTATAGCTGGGATATTTGGGCTTTTTAATTTTATTCGCATCCTCCTCCTCACTGTGACCCGTAAAGCCATCATAGATGCGGTCCATCGCTACTTGAACCGGATAAAAAATCATCCGAAGAAAGCTACCGAAACCAGCACTCATGCCCATGCCTGTGGCACTCTCATCCTCGTCATCCTCATCATCGTACTCATCCGAGCTGGAGCCATCACCACCGACCTGATTTCCCACACTCGGAGGTCGACGACGTATTCTTTTTTTGCCCATGCTATTCTTACTGTTGGACTGAGTTTCCTCGGCACTCTGCACTGTGCCGAGCTTGGAACTGACGCCCGTCGGACTCACTGGTACGACTAATTCCTCCTCCAAGGCACCGAAATCGGCACCTTCTTCTGCCGAGCTACTATTATCTTGTGTTGTAGTGTCTTCTTTCAGATCCGAATGCCATTCGGTAGTCTCCACATTTAACTTGGCTGGGGTTATATTTCCATCAGTCTCTTCGTCGTAGTAATAGGAACCATCGTCATAGTATTCAGCACCATCCTCATCTGCCTCATCGGTTAACAGATCCAACAAATCGAATCCATCTTCCTCGCTCCTCTTCTCTTTACGTTTCTGCTTAGCTTTCGTTTTCTTTTTTTTAGTTGTACTATTCTTTTTAGTTTTGCTGTCTGTTGGCTTTATATATCTTGGCATAGTGCTAGAAGTTATATTTGAAGTAGTTGGTCTTTCTAAAACGCCCTCTATCTTCATTTGTTCTTCCACTTCTCCACCTAAGGCTAAGGGTTTTTTTGCGACCTCACCCAAAGCCGATTTTTCTAAGCTAGGAGTAGTTTTATTTTCCTTCCCATGCAGCAAATGCACGGCGTGTGGTATATGAGTACCGTTACCTGCACCGCTACGTCTCGAGATCGTTGAAGTCTCCGGCGATTGTTTCCTCTTTTTTGTCTGAGATTTCCTTCTGCGCTTGCCACCACCACCACCACCACCTCCAGTCTTTCGGGCCGACACCGTTTCCACCGATCGCCTCATCAGTCGATGATTTTTGGGTACTTGCCGGGAATTCAAATCAATGTAACCACTCGAGACAACGAATGGATGCTGACTAAATGTGGTGCCTCCTCCACTGACACCCATCGCATCTGCAGGTTCATCCACACCCCCATTTATCGCACTCGGCCCTTGCGGCTTCTCCAGCTGTGTGGACAGCTTGTCCATGGAAATGGTCGCGCTGGGACGTGAAGCTGACGGTATTGTGGTGCTATTCGTTGTTGTACTTGTGCGGGTTCCCAATATTATTTGGGGTTGTTGTAGCACCGATGTTGGTCTCAGTGTCGGCCTGTATCCGGGACGCTTGTGCTGCTTCTTCTTCTTTTTCTTCTTGCTCTTCTTCGTCTTCGTGCGAGTACGACGCGTTGGCAGAGGCTTTTTCGTTGGCGTCCTCATCGTCGTCGTCGGTCGCTTTATCTGATCATTGACCGCGAGTGCGTTACTGGGCACCATAACCGGTGGTGGCTTATGCTTGTGGGGACTACTGCTGGTTGCCATGGGCAGCTTATTGCTTGGCCTAGGCGGTCCCGCCGTCGGACCCTTGGGCTTTTGCAAACGTATGATCTGCGGGCGTGCTGTTGTCGGCGATGTTGAGGCCACAATGACGGGTGTGGATAGAGCTGTGGTGTGATTGAGATTGTGATTGTTTTGGGGACTAGCGTGGAGTGTCGTTGGCTGGCATTGACCGCTAGATGTCGCTGCTGCAGCTGCTGCTGCTGCTGCTCCCTCATAATGATCACGCATTGCCTGCAAATCGTTGTCGTATTGTGTTTTCGTGACAAAAATCGGTATGCTGCTGCTATCATTCAGATGAGCCACAGCATAATTATCCGCATGTCCCAGCTCGGTGATGGCATAGACAATACCAGTGGCGGGATTCGTGAAGAATATGGGAAATGTGGAGCTGCCATTCGAGGCGCTGGCGGCGGGAGGCAATTTCTTATTCGGCTCACTGATCTCAATGAGCTGACTCTGTACGTGCATGTTCGCTAGTCCCGGCGGCTCGGATCCGTAGTCGACATCCTCATAGACATAGGGCTGTTGATCAGCCACATTCTGCTCCTCGCTAAACATTTGAAAATCCAACGAGCCGCCAGCGGGTCTATCAATTTTTTGCACTGTGCCAACTAGCCAGGGTGCTAGTGCTGTGGGCGCAGCAGAGGATGCAGAGGAGGCGGATGCTGATTGCGTTTGTTGCCTGTATTTGGGTATAAACCGTTCCCGCCTGCGCTCCGCCGCCAACAAGTCCCGCGTCCAAGTACGCGTTTCACGCAGCAAGCTGTCAAACTCCTCGGCACTAGGATGATAGCCATACTCATAGGCGGTGACCAGCAGCAGACGCAGCAACAGAAGCTTTACGCTCAAGTGGCAGACGGCAGGGGGCAGCATTGGGAATGATGTTGATGCTATGATGACTGATGCTATGATGTTTGTCGGTGGTTTGGCGGTGGTGCGGAGTGGTGCGCGCGCGCATACGATCTTTGCTCGTTTTTGGGTTGACGATTGCGATTGCGACTTCTTGGAATTCATTCGCGTGCGCGACCGCTTGGCTGCAAGTCTCGGTAACAAATGAAATGACAGCGCACCAGCACAACTGGCGACCAGGTGGAGAAATTTAAGTCCACATAGGTTTCGGCGCTGGCTTTATTATTATTATTATTATAATTTAACTTTTTTTTTAGTTTTGTTTTTACTCGTAACGTTTCAGTGAAGATGTCGCGCCGGGTCGAATGTTCTGGCTCCATTTACCGGTCGCGGTAGCGGTCGCGGTCGTGGTCGTGGCTCGGTCTTGGTCTTGGTCGCGGTCTCGTACCTTATGTCGCTGTCGAAGCTGAAAAGACAACACCGACAACAACGCTGGCGATATTTATCGAAGCATTACAAATTACCGATCTAATCAAATGAATAGCACTACTTACGTCTAATGCCGCCACCGAGGATGACGACAATGACGATAGACGAGTAGTGTATGATGGCATGGCAGAACCTAGGCTCAAGCATTACTTGAGGTCTGCTCTTGATAGCTGCATATGCGTGTTCTACTTTTTGTGCCTACACTCTAAGAAAAATTGCAATTACTCGCAGTCCTGACATAAAGTTTCAAACAAATTGCTCTTACAGTGCTGGAGATGGAGATTCACCATCCTGGCAACTATTGATATTTCATTTGAATAAGCATTTGAATCCGAAGTGAAGGGCGAGATTTCTTTTATAATTTTCTAGCATATCTGAAATTAATTTCACTTATATCTGCTGTAGGTTCTGCCACTAGACATCAAAAGCTGGAAACTTTTTTGTAGGGTATCTTAAAGGCCATATCTGTGCAGTCTCCAAACATCGCTCAGTAGGGACACTTACTTGAAGGACTTAATGAAGAGGAATTACTTTAAAAAACTAGCAAAACCTCAACCCCTTTTGTAAAACGTCTAAAATTCTTTTACAATAATGGAATGGCATGGTAATGGGACTTTTACACGAAATTTAATAAAAACAATATTTAATTTATTACGCATACCATATTTTATTATTTAAAATATTTAATTATTCTTAGTTTCTTTTTTTAACGCAGTAACTACATAAATGACATTCTTTTTGAATGGCTTGACTGTTTCACTAGAAATCCATTATTTTTATTGATTAACTTTTAGTTAAGTATATACACTTATATTGAAGTAATAGAAGTGTAAGTATATAAGCATTATTATTAATATAAATATGAAGTATTAGAGATTTTTACTGATATTGATCTTAAATTTAAAAAATAATCGGATTAGAAATAAAAGGAATGGAAGCTTAAGTATGAAAACTGAATATAAGTGAATAGAAACTTAAGCTATAAACCATACTCTGAAACGTTATAAATATTTAAATTATATAATTTATATAATAGTCGACAAAAATGGGGTGTCGAAGGAGAACTCAATATTTCAGCGCCTCTTCAATTTGTTGATAAATAATTTCAGAGTTCTACAATTTTGATATAATGCTGCATACTTCTCACCAATGACATAGTATTTCAAATTATATTGACAATGAAGTATTGCCCAGATTACATTCTTTTCACATAACATGCTTACATACTTCTGTAGTACGCGGTAGAATTTCACATGAATAAGATTGTAGCATTTCTTTGAACATGTTCGCATAGAACTTTACATGTTGTCGGATTTGGTTCAAGAAGTTATTTTTGATTTTAATTGGTGAGTTAAGGAAAAACAGAATAGTCTATTCGCATTCCTTCCCTCCCTTCTAAGCGCTTCTGGCACATCTGGAATGATTCGATTTTAATACTAAACTATATAGGAAAAAAGTCAAATATTTTATATCATTAGTTTTTTTTAAGACCCATTTCTTTAATATATATAAATATGTATGTATGTTATACATATATAGTCTTAAATCTAGTCCCAAATCAAATGGTTTTAGCTGTGGAGAGAGACTCTTTTACTGAAATCTTTATTTATGTTTAGAGTAGAATATAAAGAAGTAGTAAATAAAATCAAACACATATATGTATGTGTAGTATATAGTTTTTCTTTGACTGCATCTGATGTGTGTATGACTGTACAATTTATAGCGCTCGCATCGGATTACTGGGTCAGCGGCTCCCATGGCATACTTACATAGCTTAGGCCCGAGCCTGAAATAAAACCGTTTAAGTTAAAGCAAAAAAAAACTCTCACTTTTATGCCTCGGCTGACCAACCAACAACCAACTGACAACTGACAACCAACAAGCACTTATGTACGAGTACAATTTACAGCCAACAGACTGGTTGAACTTGTCCACATCCCGGCGCCTAGGCTCTACCTAGTTTGGCCATTACTTGTTCCGAGGCAAGCACGAGAGTTGGGAGTATTGTTTGAAAACGTTAGATTGTTGCAATAAGTCGCAGAGCTGCATTATTGACCTTGGGTTCAGAAGTGGTTCACATACTCGACTAACTACACTCAAATGAATATAAAACGTGTTTCACATTTGATTTCATACTATAATACAATAATTTATAAAGTCAACAAATTTGTATACCAAATTTCCTCTTAAAGTCATTGAAAAACTTAAAGCACATTAAGAATTGGAGTTATTTAACAGAGTGCTTAAGCATTTGAAGTTAAAAAAGAACATAAAGGTGTTTTATAAATTTTTCGAAACGATTTACTACTTATGTATTCAATTTTTAAGGTCCCAGTAGAAGATGTTTTTGTGACTGATTTTTTATAATCTAATACATTTTTAATTACATTTTATAAATATACTTTAGGGTTGTTAAAATCCTTTAAATATTTTTAAACAGTTGTTGGTTTTCTAGGCTCTAGTTGTTGTATAAAAATAAGCCAGAAGTCAGCAATAAAACAATATTTATTTATTATTCGAAAAGTCTATATAAAATATTTTCAGCAAAACAAAAATAAACAGCTTTGCTTGCAATTGTATTATAATACATATAATAATTGATAACCTCTCTTTTATTTATTTATTAACATCACTGATTTTTTTAATACTTTGTCAATCTGTCCAAATGATTATATCCTTTAGCTGTGAAAGAGACCAATTTTCTTAAACGTAATTTCGGTGACAGGAATCTTTAATTATTTATTTATTTATTTAAGTTTCTGCAATTTTTTAAACAACAACCATGTATCAATTGCCAGTCAATTTTCTTTTACAGATAGTCAACGTAAGCGACTCACTTGCTTGTATAATACAGCCATTTAAAAATATGGAGGAACAATTTCTTAATACAGATTTGAACTGAAACTTAAAAAGCAATTGAAACCTAATTGCTTATTGGCAAAATATCATTTGATATTAAATATAAAATGCGTGTGTATATCTTCTCTTCCTTCTTCCCAATTATATAGAAATGTTCATTTTTATTTTTCCGAACTCGAGTTATTGAACTAATGCTTAGGTTTGGATTAATATTCTATAAAAAAAAACAATCCACAATCATAGAGAAATAATTAAAAATTCAATAAAATGAGAGGAAATAGGAGTTTGGGTTTGAAATTTATAACGTTGCACTTTTAAACCATTTATTCAACTTTTTACATTTTTTGCTTCGATATCGATGTTCCAATAATAAATTTACCACATTTCAATTATAATAGCACTGATTTGTCTAAAGTCGACATTTGCGAATCAGTTTCTCATTTGCTGTGCAATACAAATGAATTGATGGCTTCATTCTGGTTCTAAATTCCACCTACTTATTATTTAACTCAATAAAGTTAACATAGTTGTTGTTCGACAAAACTTTTTTAATAGTTACCTATGTTTTTATCTCGAAAATTGTAGACTTTATACCAATTATTAATTCCTTTTCAATTGCTTTCATTGTGCTGCAATCAATTATCGATCTTTATTCCAAACGCTCATTAAACTAATATCCGACTTATGTATCATGTTTTTTCCACACATAGTACTATATATGTATATAGTATATAGTATATCTACCCGTATTTAAGTACTTGGGTACATTTTGCTTTCTACACATTTCCATTAGCTGTCGAGCAATTAAAATTGTTTGGCCCGTCGTTTTGGCCCGACTTTGACTTTCGCTGCTGGTGACATCGTCGGTTCAGTTCCAGTCCCAGGTACCCCGAAATCTAAGCTTTAGAAAACACACAAAAACCAAAACAACAACAAAGTAACTGAAATAAATGAAAACAACAACCATAATTACACGTCATGCTTAAATTCACTTGCTAAGAAAAAAAAAAGATGAAAAAACAACAAGAAACAAAACAAAAACATTTAAAACTGAGGCACAAGTGCCGGTCGCAAAAAACAAAAGCCACCGCATTTAACTTAAATAACAATAATAATGGTACCTACTAGTATGTATGCTATGAAGTATTGCCAACAGACAGACATACTCGCACATACATATGTATAGTATAGTAGTATATATGTACTTACAAAACACAAACAAATAATGAAAAGGAAAACACTTTAATTGCAAGTTTTCTTTTCGTATTCGCGACTCGTAACTACGACAGAACGATCTAAACAGAGCAGTGGTTTCGAAGCCAGCTCAGTCCGTATTCTAAGTTGAAATCTGGCTAATGAAAAAGTTTGCTATATACTTATGTTACAAACAATCATTTTATAGGTATTAGTATGTCAGTTCATTTATAATAATATAGTCAAATAAAATGTACAGGTTGTTATAGTTGAACACTCGATTCAAGTCTTCGTTTCGTTATACCTATGTAAACCTACTTACATATACTATGTACTATATAGTATAGCATAGTAAAGAAGTATTGGGCTATAAACTGCAACAAAAGATGACTATGGTTAATGGGTAAGGGATAGAGTGTACTGTAGTGTATTCTCACTTATCTCTAGGAATTTCTTTGAAATCAAATTTCTTACGAGTTGAACCTACATTTTTAAGACACGTGATTATTCTTCGAGCTGTCAAGATGACTTTTGTGGGGGCGAACATGCAAGTCTTTCTATTTTACAGAACGGTTTCTGGGTTCCATCAACTGGTACAAGCGTTAAGTGCTTTAGTTATTTTATTATAATTTAATGAAAGATGAAAGACCAGCCAGTTTTTTAAATAGTAGAATTGCATACAATTTGCTTACCATTTAAGGACATTCTTAGTAAACCATTTCTTTTGTGGCAATTTCCAATCATTGACTTGGAAACTCATTTGTAGTGCGAATGCTTTAGTTATCGTTTCATTTTAAATATCAATTTATTATTTTTTACTGACCTTTCCTTAATAAAACGATGAAATAAATGCATTCCTATAAATAGCAAGAATTGATTGGCGCCACCATTCTATACAACTAATTTCTCAAATTATTTATTTCTGGTACGCACATCGCTCCAAAGACTCAACCTTTATTTTATTTTGAGTATATTTTTTATTTTGCTGTATATTTTATTCTATCTATAACTTCTATTCTATTCTATTACGGTCGTAGCGATTTGTGATCGATCATTATTGCTTTCACCTGCTGACCGCTGGGATTTATGATTCGGATAAGTAAAAATGTCAATGGCATACAAGTTTGTTGCACGTATAACCATGGCGCCAAAACTATTGTTTTTTTCATAATCATAATTTTTTTTTTATATATAATTTTTTGTTTATTTTGAAAATAATTATTCTCGGGATTTATGTGGGCAGCATACCTGAATAATGGGAGCCTTATTTCTCCACTTCATCTTTTCAAATGGTCTTAAAAATAAAATATAACCGTAGTCGGTCCAATAAAGAATTTAATTTAATTTTTTTTTTATAAATATTTTTTATATTATTATTATTTTACAACTTCTTGACATGGGCTCTTAACTTTCTGCTTTATTTCTATGCGCAATAAAGATGAAGTTTAGAGAGAGCTGAAGACGCATGAAACAAAAGACGAAAAGTGCCAGAGGTGCGCGTAAGATTTGTTAATACAAGTATATACTTACTTTTAAATAAATTTTGTGAATTAAAAAACTAAATAGATAGTTGATTAGACGGAGTTACAGCACCATGAGCCGATCAATCAAACTGAAAAGCAATGGACACACACACACATATACAAGTACAAGCAGGCTCTAAATGTTAGAGTCTAAAATGTGTTTTTAAGAACCATATCGAGCATTTGTAAATTTTTTTTAAGAAATTGTTTTTTGAAATTTCAAATTTAGTTTGCCATTTTTGTCTTTTTTTTTTTGTTTTAGGCTGAGATCATTCATCATTAGAATCAATCCATTCATAAAAAAAAATTCGCATGCTTCCACCCCAAAACACACAGATCCCCCATCCTCCAGCCCCCATATCGGCGGCAATCACGTCAAGGTCGTAGTCACGAACATTGCCGCCAAAGTGAGGCCCAACTATTCGTATTGCGCGACTTCGCTTCCAGAATTAGCTTTGTTCAATTCCAATTAAAAAGCAAATATACAAGTATGAACTAGAATTTTATGTGGACTGTGAACTGGTCAAAAGATTTGCTTTGTGGGGCCGCCATTCCGTGCCAATGAAAAGCGCTTCCATTAAAAGGTTCGTTCTGCAATAATAATAGTAACAACAACAACAACAACAATATCAACAACACAAAAAGTGATGTTCAATTTGCTCAGCTGATTTTTTCCGTCATTGTGGCTAGTTGAGTTGAGTAACTGACTAACTGACTGACTGATAACCTGTTGATGATGCCACTCTCTTCTCACCCTAAGTAAGAAACACGTATTTTAAAAAAAATTGGCATTTATGTACTTTATATGTATAGTGTCCAACTTTTCAGAAATAAGACCACAACCGAAGCACTATATACATATATATATCTTACAGATGTCATAGGAACACTCTGTGAGAAATATCCATTTATCAGAATAACTCTTTATTTATAAACATATCGTAACCAAGTGGAATACTTAAAAGTTTTTAATAGAGTCCCAACATTTTTTAAATTTTCATTAAAATCTATGCGCTACATCTTTGTCTATTTTTTATTTATTTTATTTATATTATTCCATTTTTTAATTTTATTTTATTTATTTTAAATATTTATTTTATTTATATTATTTTTTATAAACCTTGTCCTCTTTTGTTTATAAACATATCCTAACCAAATGTAACAATTAAAAGGTTTTAATAATGTCTTAAAATTTTATTAAGCTCTCATCAAAAACTGTGTATCTTTGTCTATTTTTTTGTTATTTATTTTATATATATAAATAAAATAAATAAAAAACGTTATCCTAGCAGTACAATTATCAGGTTACTTTTAAATTATTGCACTAGTCATGACAAATTGAATTATATCGATTGGATTATTTTTATTTGAATAATTTTATTTTAAGATTAAACATTTTTATTATTATTTATTATTTATTTATTTTTTATTATTTATTCATTGAAGAGTTATAGCTGTTATAGAAATGATTGCTGGTAAACTATTAGTAACAAAAAAAAAACCCTCTTCAATGTCGCAATTAAATGTGATATGAATAAGCTTTTTATTATGGTTCTCCATGCTTTGAATTGTCGTCGAAAACGTTGTTGCACTGTTGAATGCAGCTTAGTAGGAACTAGAGTATACAAGAGTCGGGCGGCCGTGACTTTAAAATTCGCATCGTTTTATCGCACAATTGAGGAGCGCGTGTGCGTCATTTTTGTCATCCCCCAACCCCAAGAATATAGTTCTTTTTGCGTGCGCTCTTTGGCAAACTTTACATGCCAAACCGGTTGGACAATAGAATGAATGGATTACACGCAATAACAACAACAACAACAATAATAATAATAATAATAATAATAATGATAAAAGAAATGAGTGTTGGACGGCGGCGTGGCAAACAAAACTGGGAAGGTGTTAGAAGGCGGCAGCAGCAGAAGCAGAAGCAGAAGCATGCATACTACTTGGGAATTAGAAATCTAACAGAAAGGCGAAAACAAAAAAGCGCCAAGTGTCAAGTGTTGGCAGCAGCGGCAACAACAACAGCAACAGCAACAACGAACAGGCAGCGTCGTCAACAAAGCTTGCGACAGCTTGGACAGTGGCGGCGGCAACTACAGCGCTGGGCCGCCGCCGACGCCGCCGTCAGTCTTGATGATTTCGTGGAGCGATTAACACACACGCGTCGTTCAGAACACAAAAGATTCTGTTCGGTCCCAAGTCGCTCAAGGAGCAACGCTCGATCGCGATCCACACCCACACAAACAAACAAACAAACAAACCAGCCGAGAAACACATAACATACATACATATATGCAAATATATATGATATAAAAAAAATTAATTCGCGTGTTATTATTATTATTAATTTTTTTTTTGTTTGTTAATTTTGTTTATTGTTATTAATGACAAAGTGAGAGTGCCATACAAATGTAAATGACAGTACAAATAAGACCTAATTAAAAATAAATTATATACCAAATAAAAGAGCAAATTCAAGCGCTAATTTACACACTCATGTGTGTACATTTCTGTCCCGTGCACTGACCGAGATCTGTGACAACAACAACAACAACAACAGCAACAACAACAACTGCGGCATCCACACAGCTGCCAAAATGGACGCCGATGCGGAGGTGTGTACTAAAGAGAAAGAACGAAAAAACGCTAAATAAAAAAAATAATTTTACAAACGACAAAAACAAAAAGCAAAACAAATGATTTAAAGCATAACAAATTTTTTAATTTTGGGCACCAAACAGCCTATGTGTGTGTGTGCGTGTGTGTGTGTGCCCATTCAAATAGAAAAATTGTCTGTGCTTGCCCTCGATTTAGTTAAGTTAATTACGCCCACATAGTACGTATGTACATACAATATGTGAACTTATAATTATAAACTTAAAGCCACTTCGTTAGACACTGCCTGCGGATTTGAGGAATCTCTCTATAGCCATGTCATGCAGATACCAGCTATACATACAAACGTACATATATCATTCACTTTAGCATATTCAAGTGCAAAGTCAGCAAAAAAAAAAAAAAAATCTGTGCTAGCTTAACAAAATCAGCAACAACAACAGCATGAATAATAATAATAACAACCGGCCATGGAACGCCAGCTGTTACGCATGTCAACAGAGTTGGCGGCTTTAGGGGGATCTAAAAATTTCAAATATTGTCAGTCAAAATTACTATACACACGCTGCGAAACTTGCCTTGGAATTCCAATTCAAATTCTTTGGCTATAATATTATGCTACTGACATGCAAATTCGTACGAACAAATATCGTTATTATAAGAAACATTATCAATTCATTTAGAAAAGAATCTTCAAATGCAAGTATACTCGAACATAAGAAATACGGATTCAATCCACCACCAGAAAAGTATTACATTTATAATAATATATGTTCCTTCACCATATAAGTATTACTTTTATAATCTCAACCTATAAATATAATCTGCAAACATATAATATATATTTATGATCATACATATCCCATTTATGATTCTCCGCTGAAAATACATAGGATCCTCCACTTCTTATTACAGCGAATCTGATTTCAAAAATGTCTATAGTACTATATATTGACAACAATTTAATTATGAATAAAAAGTTACTTATGAAAATTCATATATATATTATATATATTCATTTATATCTATTGTATATATAGTTATCCCTTGCACATCATTACGATCATAATGAAACTGCACAGTATTGATTTTGAAAATTTATAACTTAATTTAATTATCAATTACATATGAACACAGATAAGACCTACATATGTATAGTATGCCTATGATTCTGCCTTGGAATAAAAAGTCAGTTGCCATAATACAATATTTCCAAATATATGTATGTTATAGTTCCTTTGAATATCTCTACTATCAGTGTAAACACATTACAAAAGAAAACAACATGATTTTGAAAAAAAATCTTACAATTCATAACTCGTTTTTCTTATCGATAATTTGTATAAAAAATTCTTGGGCCCAACCGTAGAATATTGTCATACATTGTCGTTCAAAATATAAAATATCGCTTAAATCGATTTATTATAGCTAATGATTACGAGAACCTCATATGTGATCCTCTGTTATACATACGACTGACTTGTTGTCAAAGCCAAATCCTTTTATCAGAATAGCAAAACAGTATTTTAGATTATTGGCATTATATATATCATATAACCAGTATATTGTTAACAATTTAAATATCGGTTCTATAACAGATACACTCTACTATTTATCAGGAACAACAACTTACTTATTAATTATTAATTGTACCAATAATATTTAATCATTAATATACACATAAAATACATATACATACATATATGATATTTAGGGGATCCTCACTTGTTGTCAAAACGAACCCTCATCCCAGGAAAACGAAAATGAGAATAAGAATTCTTTAAATATTGTTCTATTAGACACACATTCTATTTAAATTAAAAGCTTAAATAATTATTTACAATCAATATGTGTGTGAAAAGAGAAGAAGAAGAAGAATGCTCCTAGCATGAGTGTTTTATAACACTAATAACTGTCTAATAATAATAATGCTCTAAATATTGTGCCCATTCTCAAAGCTGTATTAACCAATATGAGTATTCTTCTTTCATACCCAAAATGATTTATTCGAGCAAGATATCAAGAGATCCAACTCAATCAAAACTTAGCGATACACGTTGAGACAATATATTTATACTAAAGGTGACTAAAATGTGTTTCTTAAGAAGGTTTTCTTTTTTTGTAGTCTACTGGAAACATCTCGATACCGTTTTGTTGCTTCACTAATTTTGTGTGCCAATAGAATCAATGGTGCTGTCTATTAATTGAGGTCCACAAAAAGACAACTACAAAAGGTATTGCGTCGTAACAGAAAATTGCACTGAACCTGTTCTGTGTTCAAAATAAAATTCTATTTCAGTTGAAATTCATTGCCCTTTACAAACTTTTTAGGCACTTGATGGGTCTTTTCTAAAGATGTGCCAAAAAGCTTCAAATTTTAGGTCTCTGATATGCTGTCCAACACAATAGGTCTCTATAAAGCTATGTTGCAATTTTCAGTTCGTAAGGCCTTTAAAAAAAAGTTTGCGTCAAGTTACAGACTTTTTGATTTTGGGAGACGTTTTAAAATAGCATTTCAAATAAATTGAAAAACATCAACGAAGACTACAAACAGTTTTGGCTTTCGTTCAAGTAGATACTTTTGAAAAACATTTAAAGTTGACATAAACCCATTGAAAAACCACACCCATGTCTGGTGCGTGGTGCACTCAATTTGAACAGAGAAACTTAAAGTGCATGGAAAATTCCCATTGAAAGACATTGAATGGGGCTTGAATAATGCAGCATCAATAGCTGGGATATACAATTCTTTCACAGTCACGACAAACTCGTATAACAAAACAAATTCTCAGCTGATGGCAACACTACTTATAAGCAGGGTCTGGAGGGCAACAACTATTGACTACAAGTATAGCCACTCGATATAGACTGTAATCAAAACTCTTCAATTTCCACTTCGGCACATCAGATACTTCACGCAACTCACGCAGTCATCAGTTGTCAAATGACGGCCATGTCAACAGCAATAATTCTAACGATTCATTTACTTTGCCTGCCTGCCGATAAGCCCAAGAACTAAAACTTTTTCTAGATGATGTAAACTAATACTCTTCCAGCAGCTCAGCTCATCAACCAAGCGGAGCGATGTACTTGTAAAAAATATTCCACTGGAAGAGAGTTACTAATCACGAGAGTGTTTTCCGCGGGGCATTTAATTCCATTTCGTCACACTATCGAAAGTCCCCCAAAGTTCGAGTACTCGTACCTATGCCGTCAGCTGTATGTTAAGTATATCACATGTTCCTCCTACTCCGGAGCTAATCTGAATGGGGGCCAAGAGAACTGATAGGCAATCTACGGAAACGAAACGTAAATTATTATACACATAAGCTGCATGTCAACTCAAAATGTATATTATCGATAATATATAGTTTAGTGTAATTCCTTAATTAAAGGAGAGTACGTGCGTATGAATGGTCGAAAATTTATGGTAGGCTTTCAAAAGTCCGGCCCAAATCTGTGACGGTCAGTCAGTAGACGATTGTGATACGTAATTGTTGACTTTGTACAGTGAATTCGTACGGGTTCAATGTCTCATTTCGAAAGCATCTGTGCTTTTGGAAGAAACAACAAAGAAGATATATATGCCTCTCGTTTCACTGTTTTATGACACTGATAAGTACTATGTTTTGTTTCCAAAAAGCTGTTGTGTTGCCTAAATAAGCGTATATTCAAGCATGTTTCCGTTTGCCGTGGCGGAATCAAATCCACGAATGAAAAAAAGCTCTTTCCGCTTTCATTTTTTGAGTTTTAAACGTTTACTATTTTTATAGTAGAATGAAAGGTAATTTTTGAAATTTCTCCCTGGCAATTGCTAACAAATTTGCATTTATATTTTGGCGGAATCAAATCCACGAATGAAAAAGAGCTCTTTCCGCTCAGTTTTAAACTTTTACTATTTTTATAGTAGAATGAAAGGTAATTTTTTAAATTCCTTCCTGACGATTGCTAACAAATTCATTTAGTTGTTGAAGACCAAATCCAACGAAGAAATATATGCCTTTCATCAATAAGTCTGTTATGATTCCAAAAAGTAGTATTTTGATTAAATGAAATCGCCAAATAAGGAAAGACTTTTCCACTTCCGTTTTTTCCGTTTGAAAATGCTTAGTGAAATGAAAAGTAATTTCAAATTTCATGTGCTGTTCGGATTCTGGAAACTGTTGAAGAAGACAAACAATACTCTCGTTTATTTTCTACATTTGGAAAACGAACTGAAAACCGAAAACTTTGACAGTTTTAGAACATTTATATTCTTATACCCAGCATTTATTTGTTATACTTTATTAAATAAATTATGGAACAATGTACTTTTTTAATGGCTAATGTTTTAAGGAACTTTTAACTTAAAGTGAGATCTTAAAAAAAAACTCCAATAGTAGTATTTTACTTTTAAAAAATGAAAAACAATTAAAAACTGGAATATTTCATAAAATATTTTTTATAATAATTATATAATTTTGACTAAACTAAAAACCTAGTGTGGTTTTTAACAAAGTAACTCATAAATAGAGCTTTGAAGTCCAGTTAAATTAAAAGACTTAAATAAACTAATGGGATTTATATGAATAGGTTTTCACACCAAAAAAATTATTTGTCAAGAAACTGTTTATTCAAAGCCAAAAACTAATACTTTCATCTTTCTTCATCTCATATTTTCGAGCAATAGCTTTGTATTTCAAAATTATTCAAAACTTTGTTCACTTCAAAGTTAATAAAGCAACTGTAGTGAAGAGCTTTCCAGTTAGCTGGGGTCCACTGTCTCTCAAATCGCTACACAATGCACGTGCAGGGTAGAAGTTCTGTTGTAATTGTTGCTGTTGCTCGACAAGCGCTTAGAAACATTATGCACTCAACTAATTATCTTTTCAGTACCAAGTATACTGTTTTTGTTTTAATCTTTATCTTTATCGGCATGGGACGAAAAAAGAAAAAAAGAAACAAAACAAAAACCAACAAACCAAATAGAAAACGTGTCCGGATTATAAAAGCGATTTACGTGCGCTTGGCAAAGAGGAGACGACACTAATAAATATACAATCAGTCAGATATGGGGCTAGACATGGACAGTTAAATGTCTCATGGCTGGTAAATAGTATTATAGAGCAATACTTACATACCTCGTTGCTATTATCAGCTCTAGAGCATTGCAAAAGCGCTCCAATTCACACTATTTGATATCATATCTATCTATATGAAATAGCTGTTCTAGGAACTATCGACCGATTTGAGAATAAATCTCCAATAACTTTTATGCTGTTTAAATTATCGCAAACAACAGTTAATTATTATTTAGTTTTAAATATAATTACTGCATATACCTAAAGATTTGTTTTCATTAATCTTTATTAATTAATTAATTTAGGTGTTACTAAAGGTATTACTAGATAATGCAATTAATTAATTCGGTATTTCTTCATAACGCATCAGAGTCAAATTCCATCACACTTGTCTCTAATATAGCTGATATAGAAGCTATATGTGTTTTAAAAAGCACCTCTGCCTGAATAAGTCCAAATTAAATTTCAATTATAATGATATGAATGTTTGAGTTCTGCTAAATTTATAAAGAAAAATATTTCATAACCTAAACTATATAACTAATATATCTCTTGAATTTCAAAGCTATCTCATGAATAAATGTTGCATTAATTAAAACTATTCAGATATAGTTTTCTGCAAACACCTTCATTAGGATTGTTTTTTTTCAATGCCTCTTAGTAAAAAAGCACAAACTTCTATGCAAAATATTTGTTTGTCTGACCACAGCTTAACAAGCGATTCATCGCTTTATTTAATGATTCATTTATTTAAAAATAAAATAGCAAATATTTTCAATTATATTTATATAAATATTTATGAAACAAATTGTCCGTCTGTTGGCCAGAAGAAATTCGATGCCTTCTCCTTACGATTATACTCTTTATAACTACTAGTATATTATTCGAGAAACAAGTTTTACTTTTCAAATATACCTATAGAATCTGAATCTGAATCTATTTGAATTGCTTGAAATGAATTGTGGAATTCAATATTGCAAGCGATACTATATGTTGCTGCTGAAGAAAATTTCTTGACGGCATTTTTTATTTCAAGTAGAGTAAAAAGAGAATAGAATTTTTTAAATGTTCTAAACAACAAATACAATTACGAATGCAAATTAGATTGAACGATTTTTTTCTGTTTTCCCCCACAAACAGTGTACTTATTATAATTATTATGACAGACTCTAGAATAATAAGCTTATCTATGTGCATTAATTACGAGGTGTTCAAATTGTTTTCACGGTTTTGGCATTGAAATTGAATATGAATATATATGCACTTATATATAGTATAGGAGATTTTAAAGGCCCATCCCATCAGCTTGAATCGAATCGAGTGAAAAATGCCTTTGCAGCGATTCGCAATCAAGCTTAATTTGGACAATGCATTTGTTATTTATACTATATATACACATACACATCTATATACATTTATATACTTATAATAACATAACAAGAGCAACTACAGTAACAAGAAGATCAGGCCGGAAGCATTGTGAAGCGTTCAAGTGTTATTGAGTTGATAACTTTGCCAAAAGTGAAATTATTGCTTAATTTCGAGCAATTAAAAATCATCAACTGGCACATTAAGCCGGAAACACACTGCTTTAATTGAGTATTAAGTGGGGGTTGATGGGTTGCTGGGTTGTGGAAAACTTTCCACTCTACATTTGAAAAATTGTCCAAAACATTGTCAATATATAGAGAACTGCTTTTTCATTCTATTGACATGCCGATGCCACCATAAAGCAACCGAAATCGGAAAGAAATACAGCACCGGAACACATGCAGCAAGCAGCTTTGCCATCAACGGGAAATGGAACGGAAGCTAGAGTGGCGAATGGAACGGAAATTGGAACAGCGCCTGAAACAGTGGCCGCAGCTGATGGGAAGGAGCCCAATGATAAGGAATATCATCCACCAACAAGGTACAAAAACCACAATATGATAAAGAAAATACTAAAAATTTTCACAACAATAACAACAACAAAAAAGATACTAACAAGGCCACAAATAACATGCAACAAACCACACCAACTAATCCACTTCAAAACTAACAATAACCTGCCCAAAACTAGGAGTAATTTATGGGCGCATCATGGATTTATATTCCCTTATATGGAGTCTTTCTTCATCTCAAATATGCAACAAACTACAGTGCATCCACTTAACAACTAAAACAACTCATCAGCAATACTAATCCTAGACCTAACTCTGAAAATGTGGCCCCTAAACAACACATATCCTAAAAAGTGCACGTTAAAATTTCAATGTTTCGACTAATTTCGATCGCTTTTCAAGTATTCCCACTCGTTCCACTGCGTCAAATATATAAAATTCCTCTTTATATTTCCTAAACTATCTGTTCAAATCTGCTCTCTTGAATCTGTTTTTCAAATATTTTTTCTTCGATATATAAAGACCTCTTTTTGGATAGAAAAAAACTAGAGGTATAATAACTAATAGAGAACAGGAAGATACAGAGATGAATAGAAACAAGTAATCTTGAGTTCCTTATTTTTAGATTGTTCTACCGGATACGGATAGTGTGGGAAAGAAAATGAAGATGAAGGAAAGAGTAGATCGATCGCTTTTCAAGTCTTCCCACTCGTTCCACTGCATCAAATACATAAAATTCCTCTTTATATTTCCTAAACTATCTCTTCAAATCTGCTCTCTCGAATCTGTTTTTCAAATATTTTTTTTCGATATATAACCTCCTCTTTGTAGAAAAAAAATTACTAATAAAGAACAGGAAGATGCAGAGATGAATAGAAACAATTAATCTTGAGTTGCTTATTTTAAGAACAAGTCTACCAGATGGAGATACTGTGGAAAAGAACAGGAAGATGAAGAAAAGAAAAGATCGATCGCTTTTCAAGTATTCCCACTCGTTCCACTGCATCAAATACATAAAATTCCTCTTTATATTTCCTAAACTATCTCTTCAAATCTGCTCTCTCGAATCTGTTTTTCAAATATTATTTTTCCATATATAAAGACCTATTTGTAGAAAAAAAATTACTAACAGAGAACAGGAATATGCAGAGATGAATTTCTATTCATCAAGTAAACTTGAGTTCCTTATTTTTAGAACAAGCCTACCAGATAGAGATAGTGTGGAAAAGAAAATGAAGATGAAGGGAAGAATAGATCGATCGCTTTTCAAGTATTCCCACTCGTTCCACTGCATCAAATACATAAAATTCCTCTTTATATTTCCTAAACTATCTGTTCAAATCTGCTCTCTTGAATCTGTTTCTCAAATATTTATTTTCGATATATAATTGTAGAAAAAAAATTACTAACAGAGAACAAACAGGAATATGCAGAGATGAATATAAACAAGTAAATTTGAGTTGCTTATTTTACGAACAAGTCTACCAGATGGAGATAGTGTGGAAAAGACCAGGAAGATGAAGAAAAGAATCGAAAATCAGATTTGAAAGGAGATCTTCAACTTTTTGGAGTGAGCTGCAAATTTGACTCGCTCCCGATCGACCATACAATTTGGGGGTCGCTTACAATAACTATATTAATCGGATTATAATGAAGCATTCGGATTATCTGATGCAGGATTCTATGAACAATACAAGTACTTTTGACGAACTTTTAAGAACTGTGATAGATATTTGCTATTTTAAATCGGTTCTTTTGAGCTGAGTGCTGGACTTTTAACAGAATACCTTTCGTCCTGCCTACTAACCACAAATTCTAACGCCAGTATCCACTTTATTGCCATTAATTTTGAAATTGTTGCCTAATCGCTCCTCTGACTTCAGCTATCTGGAGACAATTGTGCATTTGTTTAAGGGGAACATTGGACCTGGCCTCTTTGCCATGGGCGATGCCTTTAAGAATGGCGGTCTGATTGTCGCTCCAGTGTTGACCATTGCGATAGCAGTGGTTAGCATACATTGTCAGCATGTCCTCATTGCCTGCTCCAAGAAGATGAGAGATGTGAGAGGCGATGCTATTTGCTCGGACTATGCCGCAACCGTGGAGCAGTGTTTCGAGTATGGACCCGTCAAGCTGCGAAATTGGTCGCGGACCATGGGTCGCCTTGTCGATATCTTCATCTGTGTCACCCAACTGGGCTTCTGTTGCATCTACTTTGTGTTCATCAGCACCAATTTGCGGCAGGTGAGTGCTCCGGCGAGTTATTGACGAGAGACTACTACTCTACTTCTACCTCGTTATGCTCGTTTCGAAGATATTGCGGGCCTACGACATCAACATAGATGTGCATCTGGTTATGGTAATGGCATTTTTGCCTGTGCTCCTCTCCTCGCTTATTACGAATCTGAAGTGGTTGACGCCCGTCTCCTTCATCGCCAACATTTGCATGATTCTCGGCTTGGCCATCACGCTTTACTATGCGCTCCGCGACGGATTACCAGATGTTCGGGAACGCGCCCTTTACACAAATGGATCTCAGCTGGCTCTGTTCTTTGGTACAGCGATCTTCGCCTTTGAGGGCATTGCCTTGGTTCTGCCGCTGAAGAACGCTATGCGGAAACCGCGTCAATTCGAAAAAACCTTTGGTGTCCTTAATGTGGGCATGTTTCTGGTCACCATTATGTTCATGTTCGCCGGCTCTGTGGGCTATATGAAGTGGGGCGAGGATGTTGGTGGCAGCCTAACACTTAATCTGGGTGATACCATGTGAGCCGAAGTCTCTAATTTAAAACTGGAAATCAAACTAAAATGTGTGCTTTGGATGTGCAACTCAATTTTAAGGAGAATCAGAATGGAATATATACTAGAAGAGTTTGAAAAATAGTTGAAGAAATGTGATAGCATGGGGTAGTTGTTGTAAACCATCATGGGTTTTCCATGCAGCCAACTCGACAACTTATTCATATATAGTCCAAGCCACAGAAACTCGTACAGAAGAAACTGGATCGATGAAATTTCTCAGAATCATTAATTTATTGGAGACTAACAAATTCTTTAAACTTTTAGCCAGCTTACCAAGTTTAAGGTAATCTTTACTTATGTCGTTCAAGTCTTCTAGGTGAACGTTAAGTCTGAATGACTTGTGTATTAAAAATCGAGAGATACATAGAGAATTGTGACCTTCGCCAAATTATTAAAACAAATATGGTATATACGGTATATTACTTGTTCCAAGAATAACTTTTTCAATAAGATTTACATTTCAACTCAAAATATCTTTCATACCGTTGCTAAAATATGTTCTCCTGTAACACAAATTCTTGTTACAACTAATTACGAGAATAACATTTGAAAGTTGAAAGCTAGCGCAAAAGAGCGTTCACCTTTGATTTTGGTTTGATTCTCCAGTTTGAAAAGATTATAAAATATGCTATAACACCAATTTATCATACAGCCTAGCGCAGTCGGTTAAACTTATGGTGTCCATGGGTGTTCTACTGGGCTATCCGCTGCAATTCTTCGTAGCCATTCAAATAATGTGGCCCAGTGCGAAGCAGTTCTGTCGTCTTGAAGGGCGCTCTCTAAGCGGGGAGCTGGGTTTTCGTACGCTTCTCGTCATTTTAACGTGTAAGTACATCGTTTGAACTCTGATATTTTGGGAACTAGCTGCTTATTTACACACACACACACACACACACAAACAGTGGCCATAGCCGAGCTCGTGCCAGCACTTGGACTCTTCATCTCATTGATCGGCGCTCTGTGCTCCACGGCTCTGGCGCTTGTTTTTCCGCCCGTTATTGAGCTGATCGCACGAAGCGAACCGAATAAGGGACCCGGAGTTTGGCTCTTTGCCAAGAACCTGGTCATATTGTTGCTGGCACTACTGGGCTTCTTCACCGGCTCCTATGAAAGCCTGAGGCAAATCTTCAAGCACTTCGGAGAGGAGGAACTACACTGATTGGCATTGAATATGCGGGAAGTTGGTGCTCGAATAGCAAACAGCAAATAAATCTGCATAATTAATTTAAGTGTTTATTTTTATACAATTAAACTAGCCTCTAAGCCACAATTCATCAGATTGCAAATCATCATCTTCAATATTATATTGTTTCCTTATTAATCCAAAAAAAAAAAAAAGAAAAAACGAACAAACCTTAAAGCAAACCCTTAAGATAGCCATGTACTTTTACGTTTGAGTTATTTTATTGTAGCTCTGATTACATTTCTCTTCAATTTTCATTAAGCATAATAAATTTGGTTGGATGTCCTTGGTATTCAACCAAGTCTCGTGCCAAACGCATTGTGTTTTTATCTTTATTTGTGAGCGTAAAATCAAAAATACTGCGAATAGTTTAATCTATCTGACAAAGCATTATCAGGTGGCCATGATATTATCGGCTGACGTAGGTGAGTCGTATATTGATTTAAAATCTGGAATTGAACAATAAAATTGGCTGCCAAGTTTGTCAACAAAAAATGGTATCGTAAGTTAGTTTCGCAGAAAGAATGAAATTTTGTTAATGTGTTGATTTATATCCATGGAAAAGCAATGATGCAAAAGCTCAAGCAAAAAGAGAAAAGAAATACTTCAAAACAAAAATCGAATCTACAATATTTCAACTCTTTTGGGAAAGTGGTTGAAATTAATGAGCCAGCCTTCACTTGAATCCAACCCAACCCAACCCAAAAAAGTGCAATGTCAGTTTATTTAGAAGAAAGAACATTTCTTTGTTTATGATTTCCTTTCTTATAAGCTGATTTTGTAATATAAGACATAGTTTCTCTTTTTAATGCTTATTTTGTTTAAATAGTCTATAAAAGTATTTACATTTTGTAAATCATCTTGACACTCGGAACTACGAAAAAAACCCAGGTAATTAAAAAAAATAATGAATTTTTGCTCTGCATGCATATTTTTACAGTTGATAGCTTCGGGCTTTGAATTTAAGTTTGGGGTCTGCTTTTCCGAATTATTTCTGATATCAACTCGCTTACTAGCAAGATGATGTTATCAACCACTTTCTTCTGCACATCAAATTATATTTTATCGACACAAATATTCGAGTATATATGTTTTTGAGCAATTTTTACTGTACTTAAGATATTAAAGCGCATGCAATGATATTAGCAATCACTTTCTTCTATGATTTGAAAATATTGCTGGATCTTCATCTTTGACAGCTCCAGTTCTTAGCAACTTTTGGGCCATTTTTGTTTTCAAATTACAAGTGAGATGATGTTCCAAATCACTTTCTTTAATATTTTTTCACCTTCAAATCATCTTCAAATAATTAAACTGATAGACTCCAGATTTGGCAATTAAATAAAAATTGCAGTTTCAAAACTTGCAAAAAAAAAATGAAAGCTAACAAGAATTTGTTATTATTATAAGGTTGGTGAAGAACGAGTGCCACTTGAGGACTTTCACTTTGCTTTAGTATCCTATATATATCGAAATTGGCAAGATTATGCAGTCTGCTTAATTGCTTCACTTTCTTCGATTTTCTAGCTTTGTATTAAAATTGTAATTTGTCCCATTGTACAATATTAAAGCGAATATGCTGCAACACACGCAGCACCTTCCTATACGTACATTGTACGACCCTTGAATTGAATAACCCAAATGGTCTGACCAAACAAGTTTCGAGCGCGTTGCTCACCTAAGAGCGATAAACCAACTTGTTGCGTGTCTTTTTTAATAGTTGCTTCCACGCAAAGAGCTGAGCATTAGAAATCGCAAATTTTCAAGGCCATCACACATGCTTAATTGGCTCGACAAACATGTGACATCGAGGGTTGTTAACACTACGTATAGTATTATTGAAAAGTTCGAAAGAATTGCCTATTTTTAAATGCTTTACATAACTTTCCACTGCTAACAATCATCATAAAACTATGGAAAATTCACAATAAGCAATCCATAAATTGCCTTTCAAGAAAAATAAAACATTTTATAATCAACAGACTCTAATCAGAGATAATTATTTTTTTGTAAAATGGGTTATGGTGAAAATTTGCCTAATTTCTCTATAATTGTTTAGCGGGTGATATTTCGTGATGTGCTGCTATAAGTGGCCATAAATGTTTAATCTTGCATTAAATGAGTATGACTGATAAATCCGATTATTTAAGAAAGATTTCTTTGATATTCTTAAACCTTTAGCATCGAAAACTAATTATTATATCTGGATAGCAGGGCTTGTACAAAATCGAATAAAAAATGTATGTATAAAAACTAAAAATGTAAAAATAAACTGTAACTTAATAATATTTGTTTATTCTGTTTCAGGTAAGGCTGAAGTTTCAATTTCTTATTCCTCAATATAAGTAGTTGGGCTTTGCAGCGGCAACCCACCTTCAGGAAAGTGATACGACGTCCTTAGTAGTTGCTTCATTCTTTTCTATTTTATATACAAGTATTATTCCCCTTCTTCACTATCAGAGTAACTACCGATAATTTTGCAAACAACTAGTATTTATGTGTCACGAGGACAATGGCATGACAAAAAGGAAACATTCGTCCGTTCCGCCAAGCAGTTTGTCCTCAACTTGTCAACAATATGCTAAACTCGTTTTCCATTTCACCAAATCGTCCATCACAAAACATTATTAACTTATGCTTATATTTTTCTCATCTGTGGTCGTTACACTTAATTTAAACTTTCTTTTTAAATAAACAGTGCTTTTTTGATGTATAGTGTGGGTTTATACATTTTTTAGCTACAATTTGACCCCAATTGCGGGTTGAATTTGCCGAAACCACTTCTTTATTCATTTAATTCAATTCATTTCAAACTATCCGCCCTTCTGATTGGCTTAGGATTTTATAAAGGACATACAAACAAACAGACAGGGTATGCTTTATATATATGCCATTAAATAGAAATATATTGTTGTCCGATATTTAATGTATGTGCTGAGTTAAGTAAAACGACTCGTTGTACTGTTTCAGTTCAATGGCTAAGAAGTGAGTGGTTGTAATTGTTTCTTCGTGTATAGGAAATAGTTCGGAAATATAAATTATTTATTATTATTAATATGTAAATATAAAAACAATTATATACGCAAATTAAAAAGCAGGGGGAAACTAGAGGATATAAGTACTTAGAAACAAAGGAAAACAACAAAGTTGACATTTTCGAACTACAGTCGAGCTCAGTCAGAGTTTCTCACGTCGTTTATTCCTGCATTCGAGACACTATAGTACAACCGTAGTTGCCGATTTTGTGCTGTCGAATTGCTGTTAAAAGAACCTTCACCTTGGCAGGCTTACCAACGAGCCCACTAAGCCATATCTAACATAGAAATTTAATCTTATCCAAATCAAATTGAATCAATCTAATCTAAACCATTCTGCCTTTGCAATTAATTGGCCTTCAACTTTAGCCGCTCACTCCTCAATGATCTATAAATAGCTGTTGTAAATGCCAATGCAATATATGTACATATATATTATTTATATATATATATATATATATATATATATATATATATATATATATATATATATACTATGTATCTCTGTATATGTATGTACTTGTATGTATATGGAGAGAGGGGAGCAACTTCCGTTATGCATGCCACAGAAAGTAATGAAAACAATAATAACAACAACAACAACAACATTTGATCGCTTATATAATCCAATTGTTCAATTCCGTAAACAAATGCAACAAAGTGTATCGATCCAATCGATGCGAAATGCAATGCATCGTCCAGCATCTGTCCAGTCTTAGGTGCAGCATCGATCGATTCATGATCATCAGATCGATCTGTCGCTATCTATTTGTTGGGTGTGCATTGATTGGCTGTTAAAGATTTTTATGCAATTGCATTTTACAATTAATTTAAGTGGCGCTAACAAAAAAAAAAAACAAAATACAAACACAAATATAAATATAAATAACAACAATAGCCGCAAAACAAACAAGAAAATGCCAATCAATGCGGTAAATTTCCATGCGTTCCATTGCGGTTTGTTATGGTATTTCATTGCGGTGCATGGCTTGTGCAGCTGTGGGTGGGTGTGGGGGGAGGGGAGGGGAGGGGGGGAAGGTTGCCGAACCAGTACAGTAAACACGAACTTGCTGCGCTTTAAAATTCAATTTTTTTTTTTCTTCGGACCAAGCAACAATAATTACGAGCAAGAATTTAATTTTATTCAATTGGCAGTCTGTCGACTTCAAGCACGTGCCGTATATGTATGTGGGAACATATCGTCGATCGCCCCATACATATATAAATATATACAGGGTGCGCCATCTTTTATGTCGGTATGTAGATATTGAATAACTTTGTCATTAGCGAACCGATTGACTTGAGTAGACCAGTGTTGAAAACCTCAGCTCGAGAAATTGTACAGAACCAAATTAAATAAAAATATCTCATACTTGAAAATCGGTTGTTTATTTTCAAAGATATTCAATGTTTACATACCGGCATAAAAGATGGCGCACCCTGTACTATATCGGTGAATATACTTGTATGTATTAGTGTGTTTGTGAGAGCGCACATATTACACATACGCCACATTGTGCAGCTGTACAAAATTTAAAGCGGCTCGACTCACATCCTTGAACTTGAGCTGCAATGCTGTTGTTGTTATTGTTGTTGTTGCCAATTTCACTGGCAATGCCAATAATAATAGCAACAAAAAGAACAACAACAACAATTAGCAGCAGCAGCAGCATCACTAAACGTCGAACGATGCACGAGCTTTTGCTGAACACTAAAAACCACTTCCTTCCGCTTACGTGAAGTTTGTGCCAGTTTTGAATTTTACAATTGTTGCTATTTGAAAAGCCAACTTACGGACAAACGAACTGATTGATTGAATAAATGAGCACCTGAGCAAGCGAATGATTTATGCCACTGTTATGCGTTTCATTCCAAAATGCTTCACAAATGCTTCGAGGCGTGCTTAAGTTAGTTTTTAGCTTCGATTTAGTCAGCCTCATTGCATAATTTTGTGTTCTTTTTTGCCACTCAACGCTTAACAAAATACGACGTGATGCAGAGTTTAATAATATATTTAAATAATATGTGACATTTCTGTGCTCATTTATTGTGCAAAAAATTGCTGTAAGACCCATAATTTCATGTTAGGACTGCGTCTCCAGCTGCAAGTCTGTCTACCTGTCTACAGGAAAACCTTGTTTCCGGAAGTCCTTTTAAATATGTATATAGCAAGCAAGGAAGCCGGCGAGTTCTATAATTACAAATACAACAAATAAAATGTACAAAAAGAAAGCAAAAATGGAACGATGTGTAGATAAATCGATTTGCTCGAATTTTTCGCAGCTGCTCATTAGCGGACGAAATTAATTCAAAATAAAAGTCGGGTTGAAATAATTATGAATTTATTTATCGTTTTGTATATTTTCCAATGCATTTTTTTGAAAGCAACTCACATTTTTAGAGCTAGCATTTCTACTATTAACTTGTTAACTTGTTAACTCGTGCTTCATTTTATAGGTAAAGCAAACCTGTATGTGTATATTATACTCGTTTCCATTCTGTATATAGAAAACATGTAGAATATTAGCTTATGTAAGACCGATTTTTGAATACACTGTTCCCACCCTTTCCTTAATTAGAGAAGAGTCTTTGCTGTACAAATCATTTTTATAGCCGTTATTTGATATCGAGCATGGTTTTGATAAAACTTAACGTTACTATATGATATAGTTATCAGATTTTAATGAAACATCAGAATATTATGAAACAAAATGTGGCCAACTCATAAAGTAATTAAGTTATTAGAACTATTTAAAATAAATTAGAGTCGCTCCCTTATCATCTTCACATCAAAACCTTTGCTTAGAGTTGAATGTGAAGTTTATTTGATTGCCGAGGCTATAATAATATTTTCTATTAGCTATTTCTGAGCGTTGTAGAAAATCTAGAACAAATCGACTTTAAACAATCGGTTCAATTAACATTTTCCTAAATATATATCTCTCGAGCATCACTTAACAAATTATCTTAAAGCTCATATATTGATTATGAAATCCGAAATCATTTTGTTCCCCCACAAAGATCTAACAAAGATTTTCATAAATTACCTTTCTAGATTTGTCAAACATATAAATATATACTTAATATGTGGAGAGATAAGTGCACAAGGAAAAATTAAAATATATAGCGTTTATACAAGTATGCCGGGAACAACGCCAATAAACGTAATAGTCAATAAATATTTTCTGTCTGTAAACACAAAAAATTTTCCACAAAACTTGTTTACCATTTGGATACTCATACAACAAAAGATATGATATCGATTGGCTTATAAAGGTGCTTATCTACAAATAAACCTTCTAAATTGCTTCTGAGCACGTTTCAATGTTCATGAAAATAGTTATAATATTTATGAATTTATTTTATTATTTTTCAAATCGGTACTTACATATATAATTTATAATATACATACACAGCAAATGAGCCATTATAGTGAATCTGTAAGTGGGAATCTTTAAAGGTTTGTCACGCATCTGTAACTGACAGCTGCATTTCGTTCCCCTCTAATTATAAAAACTTTTTAGCTAACCAGCTAACTGACTGGCCAAGAAGCTGGGCCAAAAAGCCGATTCGAATAGTTTTCGCAAGCTGCGGGCTCTTCCAGATAAGACCAATTAAGCCAGACCAATCAGAATACTTCTAGTGCAGGCAATTAAAAATGCATTCCGAATCGACTATATAGTACATAGACCAAAAAAAAAAAAAACAAGACAGAACCGGAACGCTGCAGTTGAGTGCAGTCGACTCATGTGTACTCTCCCTCCAGGTTGCCGCCAGAGTTTGTAGAAATTTTAAATAGACAACAGATTTGTGATCGATAACAATCTAGATTAAACTGGATATATTTGATAGACAATAGATTAATTAAAGCTGTCTAACAACAATGTTAAGAATCGTTGAAATGATTGTTATTTATTTGAAATATTTGCAACAATTGCAATATTTCTCATCTGGTCTTTGTGAATATTAATACGTTTTCAAATGAAATCTTATTTTACTTATTAAAATAAATAAACTGAAATAAACTGAATACAAAATACAACATTTTAAGAATCAACTTTCCGTTTAATAAAAAAAGAAACTCAAATACTTTTTAAAACTTATTTCTTTTAAATTTCAAAAGTGTAATATCTTTCATCCAATGTTTGCGATTATTAATCCGTTTTTCGCTTAGATTTAATACTTTTGCTATTAAATTAGCTGAATAAAATTAAGTTATTTGAAGGGCAAAAGCTGCAACTTTTTTTTATCAAATAAATGGACTTGAAATAAATAATTTTGAACACTAATTTCATATTCTTTATCATTAAAAGTTGAAGTTTACAGAAATATACTTTTTACAATGTCAACTCATTTCCGTTTAATTTTAATAATGATATTTAAAATAAAATTGTTTCACTAATACAACAGAATTTCAATATTTTCAAATTTCCTTAAATGTTTGGATGCAAAATAATATTTAGATTATTTTAAGCTCCCCACCTTTTTTGACATCATATGAAGAATATTTTATTATTAAATATTGTGAATAAATTAAGCTTAAAATCATTTTCATTTTTAAACTGCAATACCTAAAATTAAACAATTTTTTTTTCAAAACATAAACTTTATCTGTAGAAAAATATTTCAACTCAGAAACCCAACTCTAATATTTATATGCATGCAAAAATGCACCCTTAAGCTGCTTCAGGATTCAACATCGTGGCGATGGAAATATTTATAAAGACGCCAATCAAAATTCAGTGGTCCTCATAAAACATGTAGTAATACTGTCCCATTAAGAAATAATATTGAGTCTGCAGCTGCCATAAATGCCCAGATCTAGGCGATCATACAGACAGACAGACGAGTGTACTAATGCAGGGACAAGGAAAATTATTATAGATATGCCAAATCAAGATGCAGCTATATATGCACATAATTATAGAGCCTTGTTAGTTTCCCACTCGATTCTGAACAATTCTGTATATTTTCCCTATGCAGCATACATAGCCGCATAGCTAATACCTCCCCTTTCACCATCAAGAGTGCAGGGTGTGGCTGTGCAAAACTTTTCTTTTGTACAATTATATTAACATACTCTAGACAGTTAGGTATAGGTACACTGAACATACATAGGTACAATACATATGTATGTATGTGTGTGTATTTACTTACGTATACATATAGTGCATTTCTGCGACACACACATACACACGCACAGGCACAGGCAGAGAGAGCTGCGCAGTTGGCGTCGACGTCAAAGCTTACCGTTGGGCCCGAGCCCAAACGTGTGGTTGTTTTGTTGGCCGCTTCAAAATATTGAGTCTGAGTCTGGCTTGAGTTCTTGACGCGCACGGTCGGTCGGTCATATGCGCGCGCGCAGCTTTCAAAAACGTTTATTCAAATAAGTATTGCAGTTGTTTCTTTGTCGTAACATTAACATCGCGTTAAAGTTAATTACAGAATTGTGTACATTTTGCATTATTGCTGGAGTTATTTTTTACCTTTTTTTGTTGCTGTTGTTGTTGTTTTTGTGTTGGTATTGTTTCATTGTTAATTATCCTCTTTCGACCCTATTTTTGGAAAACTTCATAAAAGGTGCGAATTTATTTAACAGCCCTCCAAATGTTAAATGGGAACTGAACAGCTGTTTGGTCAGCGTTTATCTGCAAATTGTTTAACATGTGTCACAAAATGTTTCACCATATATACATATGTTATATATGTATATATGCCCTACCAGTAATGAGCATAAAATTTTATCACCACTCGCAAAATAATTGTCGTATTAGTGCATGTGATTGAACAAAATCAACGATTTTTATTGCTCGCTCTATGTTAGCGGGCAACAACAGTGCCATAAACAGTTAACAGCCACTTAACAGTGGCCATTTGGCGCGCTTCAATATCAAATGCCCCCCCCCCCCCCTCCCCAACTCTATACAATAGCTTCAACTTTAACCTTGAAAATTGCAAAATAGAGGCAGGGAATATTTAAAATAAGCGATTGAAGTAACTTACAGTGCTAATTGAAAACGTGCGAATCTCATTAATTAAATAATTGAGAAAAAACAAAATACGCTAAGATATGTTATTTACAAAACAAAAAATGCTTACGTACATACATACATAATATGTGTATATTTAAATACATACATACATACATACATACACACATACATACATACATATATATGCATAAATAAGTCGACTGCAATTATTTCAGTTAGACTGCAGACTTGCTGTCGAGGGAGAAAATAAAAACGAGTTTATCTCGACAAAAAAAAGGTTATATTGAATTTAAATCCAAGATTTCATCTGCATAATACACTGAATTATTGATATTATCGAGGCGTGAATGAGCGACGATTGAGAAAACGCAAACAAGGTTTCAAGCAATAAAGAACTTGTACAGTTATTTATTAGAACACTGCTATACTTCTAAAACACTTTAACTCGTCGTAGATCGATCTTTTTCTGCAGCTGCTATATTGTTAAACCTTGAAAATCGAGTTAATAGAACTCTTCCCTGTCCATTCAGTAGTGCCTATGAGACATATAGTATAGGTATATCTTATAGTAATAATATGAAGTCTTCAGCTGCTACAAGTTCTAAGAATGTTGCGATCATACAGGCAAACAGTCATACAAAACAACAGACAAGGAAAAGTGGTATTTATTGGTAGATTCTGCTTTATTTGTAACACCCATTATAACCCTATTTTGGCACTAATTCGAAGTATGAAGCTAGAGACTGCATATTTTTCATGACTGTTAAAGTAGAATTTTGCAAAAAAAAAAAAATTTTAATTAATTTACGATCACCTCCATAGAACTGCCGAACGGTTGTAATACTATTATTATATTTTAGTACAATTGATTTAAATTTCTTTGTAAGATACTTTATTTTATTCTTGATAAAAGAATTATTAAACAGACTCTGCTGTTTTAATCCCCACAGTTTAATTAACTTAGTCATCTTTATTTTATTCTTTTGGAACATTGACTTATAGTAAAAAATTTCTTCTTCTGAAGACTCATATATTTTATAATTTAAAGACTCAACTTTATAAGGTAATAAGACGGGGTTCTAAACAGTTTTTGAATAACATCAACATCAACACTCAAGCATTGCTACTATATACTTTTGACTACTATATTGGACACTTTTTTTACATACGATGACTAACCTTTCCATATTCACACTTTATCTTTGTATTCATGATTATAGTAACACATACGTTGCAAGCTGGTCACTGTTTCCCACACGTTTTCACATTCAATTAGCTGACTTGGAGTGCAACAAACAATTCTATATGTATCTTGGAAGTCGGGATTTAAAATCGCAATACACTTTGTAAATGCTTAACACGAAAGAATTTAACCTGTGCCATTTCTTAAATCATCTATTTATGCAATATTAAATCCTATTAATATTAGTCAATGTTAAAAGAAAATTAAAAAATATTAACGTTATTTTAAATTAATCTGTTTAAATAACTTTAAAATCGAGTACAGAAAAGAAGGCAAGAAAAATACAGAAATAAATTTAAGACTTATTTACTAATGGCTCCATTACACTACACTAACAGCTAAATAAAAAGGTCCATTTTGAAAACAATTTTTATAAGAAGCTTAAGAATATATGTATACACATAGTACACACATATGTATTTCTTTCTAGCTAGGATCATAGGTTATGTCAGCTGCCCAGCTAAGGGTTAAGGGTTAACAGTGCTTAAAGCTAAGTACAGAAAGATGCTCGCACTCTGTCCCCTCTCAGCCAACGTTTCAGAGACAACTACCGTTACTTAATCTTTTTGCTCCTCTCTTGTGGCTTTGCTTTTTACATTCAAGTCACATGCATTTCACAAGCCGGCAACCTAAGAAGCAGAAAGAACAAATAAAATATAATAATTATACTAAATGCAGAAACTAAACATTTTTGCCCCAAGCCACAATTTAAAGTTGAAACTAATTGAAAATTTCGAACGATTCGCAGCAACACAAACAACAAAAGCAACTGGAAGCTGGCAACGAAATGGGTAAAACGTTGGAGATAACCAAACCCTCCTCCACTCAAAATGGGAGTCCGAGCGCACAGCCGTCTGAGAAAAATATGGACCTGGAGAGCAGTACGGCGGTCGGAAAGAAGCGACATGCGACCACTAATTTGGAAGCGGCCACACATCTGTTTAAGGGTAGTGTGGGTGCCGGCCTCTTCGCCATGGGCGATTGCTTCAAGAATGGCGGCCTTGTCGGAGCCACAATAATGATGCCCATCATTGCCGTTATGTGCGTGCATTGCGAGCGAATGCTGATCCGCGGCTCAATGCTGGCCGTTGAGAAGACCCCAGGCGCCGTTTTCTACGATTATCCCGAAACGGTGGAGAAGTGCTTCGAGTATGGGCCCCGGCCCCTGCGTCGCATGTCCCGCGCCATGAAACTCATTGTCGAAATGTTTCTCTGTGTGACGCAATTCGGATTCTGTGCCATATACTTTGTCTTTATCACCGAGAATCTGTATCAGGTTAGTGTACATAAATATGCAAAAGAATCCTCTCTCTCTCTCTCTCTTTCTCTCTTTTTCTCATACAAAAAGCCAATCATTCTTTATTTGTTTACCCAAATACAAAATTGCAAGGGCGTAGGCAGGGGGGGGGGGGTGGCAAAAATATAAAGTCGACCCACACGTTCATTATTATGACTTATTATTCCGCCTTAAAATGGAACTGAGATGGATTTGTTGAAGTTTTTCCATTTTTTAAATGCATCGTGCATTATTTAATCAAAATTTTAATTCTTTATATATATATATACTATATTATAGCTGCCATATGAACCTCTGGCCGCTTTTGTAATAACTTCTATGTTTTAAAAACTATCTGAACTAAATTTAAAACGAGGTAGTTTTTTACCAATGAGGCCCGAATTTGAACCGAATCTGGCATATGAACTATCCACCAATAGCTTCTTTGTTTTTCGTTATTTTCCAACCAAACCTGATATGAAGTATTTATACTTATAATTGGATTTGTTTTATAGCTGCCATAGAAACTATCTACCGTTTTTGTAATAACTTCAATGTTTTAATTAAATTTAATGTGTGTTGATTTTATATATTGTTTTAAAATATACTTCAGTTTCAATGAAATCGAGCTATTATAAAGCTTCCATAGCAGCGATCGGTCAATTATTCAAAAACTTCCGTCTTTTAACGCGACTAAATATGATACGTTATGGCTTAGTTTAAAAGAAAAGGTAACGAAAAGATAAGGTTCTATATAAAATTTAACTTGTATTGCGTTTCTCGACGTTTTGTTTTCCTTGTTTTCTTTAAAAACAGTATGCATGTTTTTTTTCACGGACTTGATTAAGACACACATTAAATTGTTTTTTTTTTTAATTTTAGCTTTAAAAAAAATACGATGTTACTGTGAAAAGTTCGGGGAAAACCATTTTGGGATCCTTTTAATGCATTACTTGTTTAATAATTAAATTCGATTCTAGAATAAATTGACTTCATTTTATAGAAACTTTGAAATATTTCCATAAACTCTTCAAGTATGTACTGTTTATGGAACGGACTTACGGAGATTTATCTTTTCTTTGGCGTTTACTCCTCAGGTGCTGCAGCAGAACGGCATCGATATAAGCATGAGTATGGTAATGCTTATAACTCTATTGCCCGCGATGATACCCTCGCTGATGACCAATCTGAAGTATATATCGCCCGTGTCCCTGCTGGCGAATGTTGCGCTGCTGTTTGGTCTGATTGCGACGCTGACCATTTCATTCCAGGAGGGTCCGATGCCGTCTATTTCGGAACGCCATCTCTTCACCTCAGGTGCACAGTTGTCTCTGTTCTTTGGCACGGCGCTCTTCTCATACGAGGGCATTGCTCTGATCCTGCCGTTACGCAATTCTATGCGAGAGCCTGAGCAGTTCAGCAGCCGATGGGGCGTCCTCAATCTAACAATGGTCTTCATTACGGGCCTCTTCATTTTCACCGGATTCGTCAGCTATATGCGTTGGGGTGAACTCGTAGAGGGCAGCATAACGCTAAATCTGAATGTGGAGGATGTGTGAGTAGAATATTTTTCTTTAAACAAAAAGAAGCCTATTCAAAAACCCTTAAAATATGTATTTTAAATTCCAATTTGTTTAATTTAAACATTTAACAAACTACTAATGTGCTGCTTTTGAGCTCCACATTTTTCTAATGTCCGATTACTTATGTTTTTTTGAAATTCTAGATTAAAGTTTCGTCATAAACTTTCCATACTTTTCACATTTCACAAAGTTTTTCGAACATAATTGAATTTTTATTTGCAATCTTCAATATTTTTAAACTATCGAGCAAAATGTTTCTTAAAAGCGCATGAAAGGTAACTTGAAATTCCTTCTTCTTAATATGCTTTAAAGGTCATTTTATTAAATGTTATAATATTTTATATTTGTAATTTTTTTTTATTTGTAATTTGTTTATAATTGCACGAAATTTAATTTAAAATAAATTTTTAATCTATAAAAAGCCGCGAAAGAATATTTTCCGTTTATCAAATTTATTTATTTATTTTAACTTTCAAAAAATTGACAAATAGACTGATTTGTTTTGAACGGATTTTTTGTAATTTACATTTAGTTTATTGTTTTTTATTTTTGCTAATCCATGCACTTTCTTCCACATTATTTTCTAGTATGTCTCAGGTGGTGAAGATTGTGGCCGCCTTGGGCGTATTCTTTGGCTATCCTATTCAGTTTTTTGTGATGATAAAAATCCTGTGGCCGCCTGTAAAGCGCTCGTACAGCTGCGCTCAGAAATATCCCATCACATTGCAGGTGATTTTGCGCTTCATTATGATTATGATGACATGTAAGTGAAGAGAGAGAGGAAGTTCTATATGCACACCCATCTAATATATACTTTCTTGATTCAATAGTCTGCGTGGCGTTGGTTGTTCCTAAGCTGAATCTGTTCATCTCTCTCATTGGGGCGCTGTGCTCTACATCGCTGGCCTTTGTCGTACCGGTTATTATTGATTTTGTGACTCGCACTCAAGTTCCTAAGGGTCTCGGAACCTGGACGTATTTAAAGAATTTGGTTATTTTAATTGTGGCACTGCTGGGCATTGTCACGGGCACATATCAAAGTATTGTAGAAATTGTAAGAGAATTCGAGATATAAATAGGCTCAGGAGCTCAAGAGTGATTGCCAAGTACTTTGTAAATATTCTGTAATCATGTGAATGCGTTGTAACGTTATTATTATTTCACTGTAGCATAAGTTTAATCGATATACCTTTATTATTATTATTACTATTTTTGCAATTCCATTTTTTTTCTGTTGATATTTTTAGTGTACTTACTGTTGTATGTGGCACATGCCTAAAATGTAATTCGCTTGATAGAAAACAAACAACAAAGATCCAATACAAGAGAATTTTAATAAATGATTATATATATAAATAGCTGCTAAGTTCTTTGAAATTCAAAAATAAAACGCCAATCCAATAGTGACTGGCAGCACGGTGCACAGTGATGGCCTTGCCAGATGCTCCTTAGTGCTGCCAGATGGTGAATCTAAACAATGCGTTTCAAATTGGTAGCACTGGTTTTCTTTGCGTTTCCCCATCACTACAAACACGCGTAGCTCGCAATGAAACAAATTCAAAAGAAGTCAAAAATTAAAAGGAAATCTGTCACACCAATGCAGGTGGATACGGCCAGCGATGAGGAGCATGTCGAAGACGACGCCAGTGTAGACGCAGAAGACGCTGCAGAGGCTGCTTCCATTGCTGACGACGACGACGATGAAATGGATTTGGGAAACTTTAAGGCCAGCACAACAGAAAATACAAAACGAACGAAACGCAAAAAAGGCATCATTTATATATCGAACATACCGAAGTATATGAATGTGACGATTCTGCGCGAAATTCTTGGACAATTTGGCAAAATCGGCCGAGTCTATTTGCAGCCGGAGCGCCAAACAGGTATAAAAAACACGTGCAGCTTCTTTCCGAATAAAGTGTTCTTATCGTTTCGTACTTACAACAGGTGGTGGGGATAAGGACAAGAAGAAAAAGCGAAAGCGCTACAATATACATTTCACCGAGGGTTGGGTGGAGTTTGAGTCGAAACGCGTTGCCAAACAAATAGTTCCGCTGCTGAACAACAAACAAATCTCCACAAGGAAGAAGTCACATTTCTACGACTCGCTGTGGAGCATGAAATACCTGCCACGGTTCAAATGGGTGCACCTAACGGAGCGCATGAATTATGAGCAGGCGGTGCACAAACAGCGACTACAAACCGAAGTCTCACAGGCACGTAAGGAGACGACATTCTTCCAGAACAATTTGGACAAAAGCGAGCATCTCGCAAAGCAGGCAAAGAAACTAAAGAAGCTCGAGAGGAAGAAACAGCAGGAGGAGGCGTAATGAAATTTCTTTGTATATTGTTTTGCAGAACTGATTGAAAATATAATTTATGTTAAGCTTAAATGCTTGCGAATGTTATGGCAAATAAAACACTGCCGCCACCTGTTGACAGGTTTTAAGTGGTTCTTCGATAAATTCAGTGGGTACCTCTTCCCCTTTGCACGGTGCTGCCACTTTGATGAAATTCGTTGGGAATATCGATAGGCGACTTTACATGGACAACAAAATCAGTCGCGATTTTTTACCCGACGGCGATGCATCGTCGAATTTTTTTTTCGCTTCTTGCTTTGCAACGGCGTCTGCGTGCATTTTATTAAATGCCAGTGTTTGTTGTGCTTTCAATTGCTTTTGATAATATCAATTAAACTAAATTGCATACAACATTTAAATATATGGCTAAAAGGCTCAAATCAAATGAGTTCAGCCATTGCAATTGTCAATTTACGAGCGCGCTTCAATTGATGCTTATGCTTTAATTTCATTGTTATTGCGGTTTTTTACTTTTGTTGTGTGCCACACACAAAAACAACAACAACTGTAAACTCGTTTCATCACTTTGTGTATACGCGCGAGAGTTTTGCGTGAGTGTTGTTGTTTTTTTTTTCATCTCCAATTCGTGTATTAGCGGCTTCTGAATGCAAAACATAACACAAATAAATTAAGAGAAGTTCTTCAATGCATTACGTTTTGCCGCGCTACATGAAGAATAATACGACGACGCCGATGCGTAGCAACAACCACCAAAACAAAAACAACAACCAATCGTAAACTGTAGCAGCAACAGTTGTAAACACAACTGCGGCGGCATCGGACGGCATCAAATTGTAGAAGGTATGCAAATGAGCCAAAATAAATTATAACAAAAACACACATGCACTTAAATAGGAGCCAGCAAACTGCCGATTTGCATGCAAATAAATTATTTTCTTAAATATATAACTTGATGGCGTTAATTTGCGAATTTCTGCTGCTTGCACTCTTCTTCTTCGGCCACGGCTTCCATGTACGTTTTGCGCATATCCTACAAATTTATGGACAACATTGAAAAAAAAAGGTTGCGCTTAACCCCAAGCTATAATGCAGCATCAAATCGATGACGTCAAGTTACTCTTATATTCTGCGCAATTATTTGTTTATTTTGATTTAAAGTGCTCATGTCTGCTAATTTTTTTGTGGCAAAAACAACAATATTAGGTTTCCGACAAATTCTTATAAGATAAACATTTTGTTTTTTGCAAAATTGCGACATACGCAAAGTACGAAATTCGAGGCAGCTGAGGGTGTTGTTTTTATTAAAATTGCTTATCATTCTGGTGCTACCAGCAAAACAAAATGTATACCAATATTTTCTTAAAGACAGATTACTCTTAAGTCGCGATGGATGAAATTCGTTACACGAACGTTGATTGTTTTGTATTCAAACGCCAAGTTTAAAGTTTCATAAAATCTTTGCTAAAAGGAACAAGTGTACATTTGTTATAAAACTATAAATGTGTTGTTATTAAACAAGGTCTATCCCTCTGCTGCCTCATTTATTACAATACATTCATTTATAATTGTATTTATATTTATATATTTTTTTAAATTTAAATATGATATCTTAACTAGGTTTATTCACTTTCTGCTGCCTCATTTTAAATACAAGTGGAAACATTCAAGTCTTATACCCACTGGTCTCTGATTATGAAGTATGAAGAGGTGCTTTGAAGGGTTAATTTCAAAATATGCATACAGACAATGCACATAATAACTGTAACGGTATTTTTGCCGCATTCAAATTATTCCCCACAACGCCCAACGCCCTTGACAGCTGTCAGGCAGTTTGCTGCTGAGACGACGTCGACATCTGACGCTGAGGCTGACGTCTGTAGAAACTCGAGCGCCTCAAAAGCCTGGGCCTGCCACATACGTCGGCGTCGACGTCACAGTCGTCGTCGTCGCAGTTCACAGTGAAATGCAATGCGACGGACGGAATGGAAAAAGCAGTGAGAAAAGAAAAGGCGTCCAAATCAAATGGAATTCAGCCGGTTTCCATAAAAGCACAGGCAGACAGAGAGACAGACAGACATAGGGACGGACGGACAGAGGAACAGGCAGACAGATAGAGAGGCCGGCCAGACAGACAGCACTGCTGGCGCTCCAACTTCGGCACACAATTCTCCAAGTGAGAAGTCAAGTCAGTTCAGTGAGTGAGTGGGTCACCATTGGGTTGTTGCTATATCTGTTATTGTTGTTGTTGTGCGTCATTCGGCGCTGCATTGCAGGAATTATGGACGACGTTTATGTGCGGTCGCGTTTACGTTTGTTGATTTTGCTTTTGTTGCCGACTTTCGCAGCAGCAGCAGTGGCGAGGGAACCAAGAAAGTTTCAACCTGAACTCAACCGAAGTGAAGTCGTCTCTTAGTTTATTTCTTTTCTTTTATTTTTGCCAGCTGCGTTTGTGTCTGCCAACAACAATAGCAATAACTCCTCACCTCTTGCCTGCTGCTCCACCTCTTCCCTCTCCTCTGGCGAATGTGTGCTTAACCCTTAAATCATTTTGTAGAATTCTCTTCAGGTAGAAGCAAATAAATAATAAAACAAAAAAAAGCTGACAGCCTCAAAGAAAATAGCAGCTGCTAAAATAACTCACCATTGTTAATATATCATAGGTGTGATCGATGAGGAAGTTAATGCAGTTGAAGCAGCTCAAAGAAAATATGGAAGGATTAACGAAAGAAAGCTTAGTAGAACGCCATGAGCGAGTGTGAAAAGAGACTAAAATTTAAATGTGGCCTTTCTTGAATTGAAATTTGCAGATTTTTGCTTAATTTAATCGAATTTAATCGAATTCGAAAACAAAAATAATAATCATATAACTAACAAAATAAAGATAACACAAATATGAAGAATAAATACTAATAATAAAATAATTGCACAAGAAAATGTATCAAAGAAGAACTAAACTTATTAAACTTCTGGAAGCATAGCTAATTTCTAGTAAGAAAATTTAACTAAAACTTATCTACGATTATATTGCCTGATCGATCAACTACTAGCTATATGATCAGTAATATGGGACACAAAGATGACATAATTCCAAATTAATAAGAATTTACATTTTGCGAAGAGCATTAAGAAAGTTTGTGCTAAAAAATATAACTTTATTTGACATTCTGGTCACGAATTGACTTCATATTAAAAACAAATAGGGAGTAAAAGAAGGGCTATTTGCTAAATATGTAAATACTTGTCAAATTCCACACGTAAATTGCCACGTAATATCAAAGAAAATTCAACAAATTGGCAAAAATCACAAACTTGGGCTTCCATTAAATTATGTAAATTTGATTAAATTGGCAAAAGCCAATGCCAGAAATTGAATAACAAGAGAACATCGATACATACAACAACAACAACAGCAGCAACAACACGACAACGAAAAAATGCTTTTTATTATTTGCTCGAGAACTTGTTTTAATCCCCATGTCGTTGTTATAACAAATCTCAGTGACAGCGAGCCGATATTTAAGTTTTCTCGTTGTTGTTGTGCACGGATTTGTGCTACGTGTTTCTGACAACTAAGAGGGCGAAAGGGCAATAACAACAACAACAACAAAAGCTCGAAGCGGCAAACAACAACAACAGCATGAGCGTGTTCGCTTATTTCGATTTAAATTAGAGATGCGAGCAACACAATAATTAAAAAGTGAAGCATTTACGAGTATTATTCAAAATAGAAAAAATTACATTTTAGCAGAAACAACAATTAATGAACAAATGCAAAAATAGTTGAAGTTCAACTTAGGGAGAGCACGTACCTATGTGCATGGTTATATGAGGTATAGAGGAATTCCAGCCAACTTATGAAACAAATGAAAAATTAGAACAAGTTTTATTTGTTGTCGACTGTATGTAGCAGGCGGAAGGACACGTGGCAGGCCTAAGTTAAGTACAAATCGTCCATCTGTTCGACTGTATGAACAACGAGAACATTTGAACCATAAAACCTAGAGACTCCTTTGCAGACGTTTCTTATCCGCAGAGAAATCATGAACAGCCTTATTATTTTATATAGCCATCACAGTAACGATCGTCGAAAAAATTAGACAATCTTAAACTATCAAATATAGTGTTTATAAGTAATTTAGATTGCCTCACAAGGGTGTAAATTAATATCAAGATCGGTAAGCGAAACAGCCTAAGTATAACAATTACTTAAAAGTACTAAAATGTTTCGTAAGAAAGCTGAACAGAGCTTAGAGCCTTACAGACTAGATTCACGTTGGGTGTACAGTTAATTATATTTAATTAAATTAGGACAGCTTAGGCATTTTAGAAGGGTCACAGTGAAGCCTCGTACGAGTATAGGATTGTTGAATGTGGAAAGTATATTGCTTATATATTTATAAGCGAAAGGAATATGCTAATATTATTAATATTTTATTAACTGGTCTATATAGGACCTACGTATAGTACTGTGTTTGTCCAGTTGAGCAGAAGATGAAGAAAACAATTGTTTGTTTTCAATTTGTGATAATATGACTATTAATAATTCGATTAAGAAAATTAAAAAAGAGGCTACAAAAATATTTAAAACTAAAAGTCACATTTCAACATTATTATATTGGAACGTCTGAACAATTAACTCAACAAATTAAAGTATACTGATCAATTTATTCGTAAATATAAAGAACAATGAAGAAGTAAGCTCTCAACGAACAAAATGAGGTACCGAATTAATATATAACGCAAAAAAGAGTAACAATAATAAAAACATTTAATAAAATGTGATCACAGACATAGCCAAGCTTTAAATGATTGCTTAAAATAATTAGCTGCGATCATTTTCGCAATCACGCACGCAGTCACGCACATCGTTGCTTTTAAATTGTTGTCATAAAGTCACTTTTTGTTATGCTTTTCGGTGGGTTGGGCAGCGTCCATGTCGACGTCGACGCCGTCTTCGGCGCTAGCGTCAGCCTCAGCGTCGATGTCAATGTTGGCTTCGGCGTATTTGAAACGCTGCTCAGCTTTGAGCGCAGGCGTGTTGGCGAATTTATTTCAACTTTTTGTTCACCGCA